GTTTTTCGAATTTTCGCATCTGCATTTTTGTACTCGCAGTTTGGTATTTCTCTACGAGCCGAAATCGAGAAAAATCTCCCTGGTCGGTCGGATCCGCCCAACACTGGCTTTTCCTCGCTTACGGCTGCTCCTCCATGAAAAATGTAGAAACCTCTTGCACCGATTGCGCTTCTCTCTCTGATGGTTCCGCCTTCTCCACCTCATTTAATGAGAAGGGATCACGCAAGAGGCAGCAAGGGGCAGCAAGGGGCAGCAAGGGGCAGCAAGAGGCAGTAGCTCGTTTCCTTCGCCGTGCGCCCGTGTCGCAGCTCCAGACAATCCAGTCACCAGCGGGAGGAGCTTTGCGCCATGCGCTCAGCGGGAATACTTGTGAGACCTTGGCGACGCCTCGCTTGGCACCTCTGACGAGGACTGGAGGACGATTCCATGTCGAAAATTCATCCCATGCCTCATAGAGTTCACCTCGCCAGTATCCGGAAGGGGGGGGGGGGGGAACATAGATATGTATATCAGTGTGGTGCAGTCTTGTCGAGAAGATGGAAGACTTTGGCACACCTCGCTCTTTCCAAATGCCTGGCGGCACGATTCATCCGTTCATACAATATGGAGAGGCTCCCGACAATACGCAATCATTTGCCAACCTCGCAGCGAGGAATTCCAAGAAAGAGAGAAGTGAGGAACACGCCCACTCGAGAGGCGAGCTCGTCACTTTTTTAAAAGACCCTTTTAGTGGCACGCAGCCGATTCGTTGGCTAAAAACGAGGATATATCGTTCCTCTGGCACTAAAAGGGGTAAGGACGAACAGGAGTTCAAAAGACGATTTCTTCCGTCATGCTTATTTGCATAGGACTGACCTACTCGTTAGGAAAGAAGGGTCTTGCATGTGCATGATGGTCGTAAAAATTGCGTCATCACTCATCAGATAGGGATTCCTCGGGGCCTAGTTAAGCGAATCGAAGGGAAAATCTGGAATCTTGGCACGAATAGGTGCAAGAGAGACAAATTCCGACCCTACTATCAGGTCCACCCCCCACATCGCGTAATTTAACAACAAATCCGATCTACCCTTTTCAACAAAATTTCACCAATGTTCTGTCTCAAAACGCGAATGGAAAATGTGCGCATTTTCTTCCCTGATGATGAAAGATCTGATGACGTTTCTAGATCCCAAAAATCCATCAATTTCGAAGCGGAGTTAAAGAGGACGGATTTTAAACCTAAGGAGTTCCTCTCCCCCTAATTGTAAAAAAAGAGGAAGAATTCGTGAAAACAGTTCGCGATTCGAAAAAACCCTCAACAGATGACGGGAGTCGCTCGGTTCTCGGTCATACGCAAAAAACGTGTTTACACGCGTGTTTACACACGTGCGTGTTTACACACACTCAATGTGTTAACTTCCAGTGAGGATTCCCAACTCGAAGCACAAGAATTGCAACAAAAAAAAACGCTGTCCAATGTGCGAGATGGCTACCCTTTGCTGCCGAAACGAAATTTCAAACGATAAGGAACTCATGCTCATAGCAATTAACTACAGCATTCAGGGCGATGAAGAGAATTAGAAGAGACGTCATAAATAATTATCATCAAGATCTCGAACTCCGAGCTTCCTTATTGATAAATGGCAAATTAAAAAAAACTTCAGGGGTGGCTATGCAAATGCAGGGCTCAGCTCGACAGGTTGCTTTCGCATTTAAACACCTGGCACGATTTTCTGCAGCAATAAAAATATTTAGTTGTGAGTGGAATTCTAAGTCTTCACCGCATTTATATAGGATTACGCTGCCGCAATTTACTCCGCTAATCCGCTAATCCTCGAAAGGAATCCTCACGACAGCACACGAGAAAAAGCGCATAAGCACCGCCAATTAAGGGGCTCAGTTCCTTAATTGGCGTCTCATTAAGGCGCTCAGCACAATCTGCTGCCAAGGTTTTCTTTAAAATGCACTTCGGGCGAAGGCTCTGTGCGCCGAAGGAGAGATAACAAATTCGAAGCGAAGACATTTAAATAAGTGAAGATGATTTAGTCCAGAGCGCTAGTTCTTTTACAAGAGGGAAATTTGAGACTTACCGCTTCAAAGATGTGGATTTTCTTTTTTTTTTTGCAGCTGAGGGCTCTCGATTCGATGGTTCTTCCTGAATTGTATTCATACTGCCCAGTTTTCGACACTGCTGGATTGGGGCAGCATGTGCAAGACGCAGACGCGAACCACTGGGTTATGCTATGTTTCTCCTCGAAATTTCCTGGAAAGGTAGGGCGTGCTGTTTCAGATGTATATAATTTAGGTAGCCAATATGAATATCGTCTCGATTGAGATAATCGCGAGAGGATTCGAGATTCACGACGAAAAATGCGGATACTGTAGAGTGATGTAGACGGAAAAGGCTCGCAAAACTGCGGTCTTCCTGCCAACGTAGGATCCACATGGATACGGGGAGTGAATGTGAAACAACAGAGAACGCTCGCAACCGGTGACTATAATAAAGGGGTTAGGCTTACTTCTACTTCAGGGAATAAAAATTCAGAAATTACAATAGCGACAAGGAAAGTTTCAATAATGGAAATGCCACGGGCAATAATGTCAACTTATCGAGATTCAAACTCGAGTACGCCTCTTCCAGCTTACACCTACGCAAGGGGACTTGGGTGGGGGGGGGGGGGGGGGGGGGGGGGGGGGGGGGGGGGGGGGAAGAGGAAGGCCACAGGGGTAAGCAGGACTGGTTTCAGTATTCCTATCCAAGTTTCTCGTTTCCTTTTGAAGGTCGGCTCGCTTAACCTCACTTTTTCAATGGGGGGGGGGGGGGGGATGGTTAAATCCGTATGTTGTTGTCCCGGATTCTTAAAATGAATCCCATGGGTTATTCGTAATTTAGATAAATCACTTGCAAACTTTGCATGCAATGAGGTAAATCACGTTAGGGGGTAGAGCAAGTCACGGGAGACCGGATGTTGAACATTCTACAGCAAATTGAGAAGGAAAATCGTATTTCTTGCCGAAATCTGTTACTCCCTGAAGAAGACTTTGCACCTCCGGAACGTCGGTTTTACCCCTTCATTGACCGGTTGTTAAGAGTTCGCTGTCGTTCTATGGAAACTGGACATTGGACCCAGTGTATATACTAAAGAAAAATATCTGCAGAAGAAAATTAATCAAACGAGACAGGTATAATACACATGCACTTAAAACATCCATGTTTGAATACTGAACATAAATGTGTGGAAATCCACAGTGGAATATACTGTAAAATTTTCTGAATGTTATCAAGCGGCGATTTTAACTCGTTGGAACAGATACGACTCGTGGAACCATATGTGAGCAGATGTAGTCCCAGGTGTGAATTACTATACAGAACATAGACCAAATTAGTTCTTGCAGTTAGATTATCCGAAAAATATCGATACCACTTTACTCATAGGCGGTTTTCATGAAAACCGGAGGCGAGTTTGAGCGAGTGGAGCTCTCACTACCGCCAATTAAAATCCACACAGTAATGTTGGTAATATGCTTGCACAGCGTGCTTCGCGATACAGCCCAACGGGTATTGCTTTTACACGTTACCCGACAACAGTTAATATCTTGGTCAGAAGAGTTTTGTTAGCAAATTGAGTCGCAGGGGAGCAAACTCAGAGCGATCCTTCCATGTTGCAGCTGTCAAAGAGGAACTTGAAAGACATGTTTGCCCTGTTGTTATAAATTACCATGATTACTTTCGTTATCTTGCACTCATAAGTAGGGTGTTATTCAATTGTGGTATAACTCAGTTTTACTAACTCTACAGTTCAAGGAGTTTGCTCCTACCGCATCAACTTTAGTAGGGTCCGAATGAGCAATATTAGAGTTTAACGGGTTCATTAAAGAAAAATAATCATTTCAAAATTATACATACGTCCTTCCATAGACCCCAAGTAGAACGAGGTGTCAGAAAACCTAATGATTTCACCACTCATTAGACCTTTGCGAAGTAGGGCCTTCGGCTAGAGGCGGGGAGTAGGAAGTCAGTGAGACATGCGCAGTGAGCCCTCGGCCACCACCCCACTGACCTCAGTTCCATGTATAATATGGTCTGGTGAAGGTCACTTCCCCGATCATACACAGCAGCTGAGCGAGGGGAACTGGGTCTGGGAAACCGAAGTTGCAACATGCCTCCTCAACGTGTATCCCACGTCCAGTCTTTAGCTGTGACCACCTTGCCTTGGGGGTTGGAGAAGCGGTGAAGTCGACAGATAATCCGACGGATCAAGCTACATGGATTTTAACGTCACCCATTACTTACAGAACTGAAATAAATACATTGACATACTCCGAAATATGTAAAATGGAAACACGAGGAAGAAAAAATTGAGAAATTACAATAGCGACAAGGAAAGTTTCAATAATGGAAATGCCACGGGCAATAATGTCAACTTATCGAGATTCAAACTCGAGTACGCCTCTTCCAGCTTACACCTACGCAAGGGGACCGGTATAGACGCGTATCCAATGCAAGCTCGACATTGGAAGCACAAGGTGGAAAAGCAGTAGAGCCAGACACGCGACCTTGGGCTTTACTACTCAGCACTTTCCAGAAAGCGCAAGTCTTCGCTCGCATCCTCCAGCGCCAGGCTATACTCGCCCTCCTTTTCTCACGCCCTGCCCATGCTAATGGATGGAGTTATATAATATTGCACTAAAGCATATATATTCTTAGGCCCTCGTTTGTGATCGGCAGCTGCAAATGAACAGTATTGGTTTCTATTGAACCCGTCATAAACAGCTGTATTAAGCTGAACTTAAACTTCTGCATTCGTTTTCGGATTTCCCCTCGAAGCTACACATTTCAAGTCAGAAAGGCGTTTAAGTATTTCTCTTCAGCATGACGAGAGTCAAGAGGCTTTAAAGTGTAAATAAAAAACAGCCCAATATTCGCGTCATTTACTGGGGAAAATATATTGGGACATAGGATAAAGACAAAAATCTGCGAAAATATACTTCCGTTTGCATAGATTGCATCGGTCTTCACGTCAGTCATTATACCAGTCGAGGAAAAGTAGAGAAAACGACATGACGAGGAGAAAGAAGAGGATCCAGACTCGAAAGCCGGCATTCTTCTTGATGGCTTCTCGGACCTGTTCGTTCCCGAACTTCACGTTTTCCGTCGTCCCGACCACGGTGTGCGACAACTTCTCGATGTCCTTCTCTTGGTCCAACACCTTTTCCGTGAAGATCTCTTGGAGCTCAGCGATCCTCACCACTTTACCCTCGATCTGTTTCACCTCGTCCACGAGGGAGTTTAATTCCTGGAATATCTGCCGGTTCTCTTGCTCGAGGATGCGAAGGTCCTCGGGGGTGAGTTCCTCGGTATCTAGGTCTTCATCTGACATATCCGTGATAATGGGACGGGAACCCTCAGAACTTTTTCGAGTCCCGATTTCCAAGCGTTCCAGTTTCGGCCCCCTCCGAGTCCCGATTTCCAAGCGTTCCAGCTTCTGCCGCTCCACCATCCGCTTGACCCTCACGGCACGCTGCGTGGAGTACACCTTACACACCGACTTGAGATATGCCTCGATGATATCGGCCACGGCCTGCCAGTGCTGCTTTGTCTGAGCATTCCCCTGCACCAACCCTGCCTCCTTCCTCAGGTTCAGCAGGAGTTGCCTGCAGCTCCGCATGACCGTCTGGGCACCCGTGTCGATGTGATCCCGGTCCGCATCCGTCATCCCCGACGCATTGTACCCGAAATGTGAGGCGTTATTCAAGTAGGCAACGTGGTTCTCCTGGAGGAAGTCGCGTAGCTGGGAGATGTCGCCAACAAGTAGCTTCGCCTTCGACGTCAAGTCGCACCGAGGTCGAGTTCGTTGACCCAAAATCCGCTTTGGGTCCATGTCTGGCATGCTTAGGCCCAGCACCTGGTTTCTGTTCCGAATCGCCTTCACACATGCTGCGAATGCAGGCATCAAATCCATCCTAAGAAATGTATCAATGAGAAAGTATTGACTCGGTTCATCCATAATGGAATCTTGCATACAAAGTCGCAAGAGCCACTCCATTCCGAGAGAAATCTCCGTCACGACTAAAGAAAGGAACCCACATGAAAGGAGTCTGATACGGGAGCGGCAACCGACTAATCGAAATTGCTCAAGCCGATAAGGTCGGCATTGACGCGAACTGGCTAAACCAGGAAGAGGCAAAGCATCCCTCGAGACCAGCTACCCAAGGTCGACCCTCACCTACCCCATGCAACACATCGATCAATGTCTTCAATCTGGGAGTCTCCACAGGCCTGCGCACCTAGGCCAAACTACAGAAAATCTATGCTACGATTATCTTTTTTGGAGAGGCCCAGATGTCTCTGTAACGTAGAGCGTAATTGGCTATATGGGATTCTCAAGGGCTGCACGTCCTTTTCTCCCTTCGAAGTGAAGCAAATATTAATTATCGACCTCAGTTGGAATCTGTCTTGAAAATACGACCACGACGGAAGCATCTGAATGGGCAAAGCAACTGCTTCAGAAATTGGCGGAATCGTCCATCGACCCGACTGCAGAGAACGAAGCCCGCACATCAATCAGTATGAGGGATGTGGCTTCGCCCATAGCGCAACGTACATAAAACGTGGGAAAGAATCCTTTATCATGCTAATCCTTCATTTGCCTAATAGAGTGACGGTCGAACTACCAAGTGGAAAAAAACTTGAACGATTCACGTACATTACTTAACTTTTTTGGCAGATCATAAATGGCCGAAAGAACCTGTCTCTAAATAGCTCGGCCTGCTTCTATTGCCAAACTCAACACTAAGAGGGTAAGGAACTCGAGCAAAACACAGAAACGATTTTCCTTCTCAGCGAACCTGCTCCCAAGACACTCAGGTGCGCGTCGAGCGGGCCTGATGCAGATGGATGGATGGCCACGCCAGTGGATGGAAGTTCCTTGTCATCGTGACTTCAAGCCTATTCCCCCTGATTTCCCACATGCATCGGATCAATCCGTCCGACACGAGAAAACAGACCAAAAGCACGCAGTCCTTGGTTGCATTAGCGATGGGCTTCCGGAGGAAACGAATCGATGGATGCTCTCGCATCGTGACGTCATCAGTCGATCCAGTTACCTCTGCCATCATTAGTCATTCCATATTCATTACAACTATCAATTATAATCAACTTCTATAACAAAATTCAACGTTCGATGAAAATGCCTGTGACTGCGACCATGAACTTCACGATTCCCATTCCCTGGATGAATTTCTGCACTAAGAACTACGAGGGGCTTTACAAATGTAAGCGTCCTTGTCTCCAAGGATTACTCTTCAAGGGCAGAAAATTAAATTGGAATAGCAATTACTTAGGAAAGACGCATCGGGCTTTATTGGCATCCACAGCAAAAAAAAAGTATTTCCCGGCTCTTAGGCGTTAATGGATGAAAACAATCGCATTCACACCATAACATACGAATATATTATCCTTGAAATGGTACCTATGTTCTAATTCGCATGTAATTTTCCTTCCCACGGAAGTTACTTAGCAGTGACATGTTGCAGCACTTGAAAATGTTAAATGCTAGATAACATCATTTTGAAATGTAGCTCGGCTTTGGTAAATACGAACAAAATTTATAAAGAGCATGCTTAAAATCAGCGAATAAATAAGGAAATTTAAGAACTACCAAAAATAAAATTTTCAGTCTGGAAGGGCAAGATACCCGGAATTCAGAAAAATGGCTCACATCCACTCATTCTGAGCGATATTACCGGTTCCAAAATCCCATCGCTTATGCAACGGTCTCTTCATACTGCTCGTGAAATTTCACTTCGATTTGAAGTCTCTTGTCTGAGTAGGCGTTGGGAAATAGCCAACACGTACTCTTTGGTTCTATGGGAAAACACGTAATTTCCATTGGTCTCTCTAAGAGTCCATGGTCCGAAAATGCGAGTTCATGGGGTACAGGGGTACTGCATACCATGGTACGCACTTTATACGGCCAAATGACCCTCAAGGGATAGACTTGTTTACGATTTCCTCAGATCAGATCAGATTCGTTGCATGGAAAGGCTGTTCCAGTCAAGGCGAGATTATCGGGCTCTCCGGAGACTCGCTTAACGGATCTAGTGTAAACACCACATCCATCAGCTGCGTCGTTTCAGGGCCTCATTTAGATAGCCCAGGGCACTCGACTTATTGCGAACTCGAAAAAGTCCCTTCGGAAACGAAAGTCAAGAAAAACCTGAACTTTGCAAAAGATATTGGCACAATAAACGGATAAGAGGGAAAAACCAACGTGGCTGAGTGAGAAACTCTCGAGGAAAAGAGACAACGGTCTTTGAAAACGGACCATGATTGCTCAAACCAATTACCGGATTAAGGCTTCTGGGTCATCATTAGCTTTTCACTGGTTAGAAATCAAAATTCTTGGAAGTAACTCGATCAAAAAGTGCTGAACTCAGACCTAAAGAAACCGTAATATTTTTAAGCATGCAGATGTAGCGTTCTACAATCATAGATGGTACGTACAGGGCGGGATATCACTCCTGAGCATGGATTAGACTCAGGAGTTCCTTGTGGTACGCGTACCACTGGACGTTGGAAGGTTCAATGCGAGAGAAAATGGAGCTTTTGGAAACCACTAGAATGTCTTCCGTCCGCGACTCAAAGCAGGGCATGAAAGGAGTGCCTGGGTCATCAACCAGTCGAGAAAAGCGGAAGGGAAGATACGACGCAGAATGGGGAGGACAAACCGCTCGGAAGTCGGCATTCTTCAAACAGAGAATGGTAGGGAAATATTAAAAAAATGGGGGGGGGGGGGGGGGGGGGGTAAGAGAGAACCTAAGGGGAAAATGATGTCATGAAAAATGAAAATGATGAGGGTATAGGCTCCATGGTCACCTTTGATCATGCACACGTGACTTTAGCAAGATCGCCCTTCGCATATGTTCGTCAGTGGTGAAAAATATTTATGGAATAGGACGTAACCTCATGATGAAACAATGGAATTCAAGTCCGAATGACACATTTCCTTTTTTTTACTTTTGGTCGATAGACTCGTCCTGAATCCGGGAAGGGGGGGGGGGGGAAGTACACAATCAATCAGATTCCGCCAACAATAGAGCCTCCAGTTTCCCCGAAACTTTACAGCAAAAATCCGTGGTTTCCAGCAAGGATGTAATTATTTTCAAACGAGCATATAGCCGTACATATCGACCTGAGCCAACGTGGTGGCACGTTAGAGCGTCTTTGCCCACCATAAAAAGATTATTAATAAACATGCAGTCTATCGACCGAGACCTAGAGCAACTCTGAATACTCCCGAGCATACATATTTAATATCCAAATGGATCGAGCACCCAGGATTCCGGAGGGATCTGTCAAAGTCGAAAAAATATCAGCCGACTGAGACATTTCCCGGAGAGCAAGCAACAAAGAGCGACATCCTTCCCGTCCCTCCTCCTTAATCGGAAAGAGGTGACGTCTCATAAGGCTGTCATCGAAGAGACAGGGGGCGAATCCCATGCATGGAAACCGGGGATATGGATGACTCCGCATGCGACATTGATTAGATTCCCGTACAAAGACCCCCCCCCCCACGCGACCATTCATGCGGGAAAACGTCCATTCTCTCGCTCGAAATTAACATTAGATGCCCGAGGCAACAAACAAATCCAAATGGATATAAACGCTCCTGTTTTAAGAAAAAACTATTAAAAAATTCATTTAAGAATCTCAGTTGAGCAGTTCTGCTTTCATCCAATAAGATCAGACTGCGGCGAAGTCTCCCCCCACAGTATTCAGAATTTTCGTTAAAAAAAACAAACATTCCATCAGTAAGGGCATAGAAATATCCACGTATTAAACTGAAGATGAAACGCTCCATATTCTGTCCCTTTTGGTATATGGTCAGCACGTGACGCTAGAAAAGGAACCTTCACAGCTGAAAACAATTGAGATCACGAATGCGAGTCCTAACTGTCTAGAAAGTATAAAGAGGGTAACAAATTCACGTTGAATTTTAGAATGTATTCAAGTATCGCCCAGCTCATACACGCATCGTTCTTAGGCCACGAGGTAGCAAGTAAGATCTTCGGAATATTCACGGCAAAGAAACCCCCCAAAAAAACTCAGGGCTCCATGATGCCGGAGACGAATCTCCCCAGTGAGTCTTTCACCCCCTCAATTCAACTGAATTCAATATTTAACTTACGCATTGGATCATAATGGGAAGGCGATGACCAGCTCGACAGACTGTAAGAAGCAGTCCAATCTGCCACAAATCCGGCAGACTGCTGGTTGATGCAAGTCCAGCCGCAGGGCCGGACTGGTGTCCTAGGGACCCCAGGGAAATATTCCAGGAAAAATTAGGGCCCCCAGAATTTATACTAACGGTACCATGGTGATCTATAATTTTTTTTATAGCTTTACACGATTTGGCAGCACTCATGGAATCAATATTGTCATTAGTTGCAATGAATGTTCACTATAATTCTGCTTATAATATTTTTTAAAATCAGGTCTGGGGGACCCAGGGAAATTTCCCGGTGAGCCAGTCCGACCTTGTCCAGCCGGTTTGTTTATTGTTAAATGCAAGGGGTGTTCTGAAACATCAGATTCTTTGTAGTTAATTCAAAACATATTTTCGGAAGATGTGCCATTTGTATGGCTTCCCTTAGCCCTATCGCAACTGAGAAGTTCCATCAGAGTCAACTCAGGGAACAGAATTAATTTCAAGGTTTTTGGAGTGATGTGTATGTCTATTTGATATAACCAGAATCGATGTTCCCTCTGGCTCAGTTTTCACTTCGTATTGCAAGTTCTTGGTCCTTTCTCTTGACTTTGGATTCTACTCTTCATCATTCGAATATCCGAATCGTTTTTGAACGGTCTTGGCTATTGTACTTCTGAAAGGGGCAAACAAACGAACAATCGGAATCCTGTGCATTTCATCTGCAGTCTTAGTCCCCTTGAGCAAGTTGCTCTCTTTTGCTAATTTCAGACTGAATTTTTAGTGGCACATAAAGCAGATCCATAACAGTTGCTTTTTGTCCATGTGTAAACAAGCATATACTTCTATGTGCCTGGCCCATAAACCATGAAGATGACTATCACAGCTTTCAGATTCAACAGATTTTACTGCAGCAGCATTTGCAGTACCGATGCCAGTTGTGATTCAGCTGAAAATAAATTTACATCTGTAAATGGTTAGCTTCCAAAATTTTTTTTTCTGGTTTGCTGACAGATGTGCTGTAATTTTCAAATACTTTTCAGGGAATGCTCAAGAATTGAAATCTTAAAAATAAAAAAAGGGGTTAAGTTATACTATTTCACTACAAGATAGACTTTCGAGAAGCACCTAAGCATGGCATGAAATGATGGAGTACTCAGAAACGATGAAGTTTAAATGAGAAATTTTCTTAATACTCGAGACCAATACCCAGGCTCAAAAGTTTCAGAACACCCCCTCAGTTAGCCGCTCAATAGAAGATTCATGATGATGTGGAGTGATTTTTCTTCCAGTATATCACTTGGAAGTATTAGGATATCCTTGCTCTTGCCAAAGCAAGATTGATGACTTAGAACGAGGATATATGAATGCAAGTTCATCATTTTCATGTTGCCTTGATTGCAAGAAGTACAATAAAAGAACAGCAAAAAAAGGACCCCAAAACAGGAAATCAAAAGGAAAAGTACTCCCTGGCTTGCTGAGTCGTCTCACAGTCGAGACTCTGAAGGAGGCTGGCATACTCCTCTCCATTCATCTTGTCTCGCAGGTTGTGTAACTGTCGACAAGGAACCATATAACTCCTTCAAGGTAATTGATAGGCTTGTGCAAGGCACAATGGTTAAAGCTGATGATAAAAGTGAAATGCCAAGTAAAAACTTGTTGGGCTACAAATGCATTAAAAATGATTCCATTGGCAGTAAAAATACCAAATAGGAATAAAGAAACAAGAGAGAGTCAACACAAGCATTGGCATTAGAATAGCCATAGAAATGGCAATGGAATGAGGCCTCTGACAAATTCCATTCAATGGCTTGATTAGCTGAATGGAATGGTTTGTTAAGTTGTAAATAAGTAGCCTGCTCCATCTTTCTGAATCCAACAGTGATCATTGCTCAGATTAGTATCATGGGTCACAGAATACAAGAAATTTCATTACAAGAAATGGCTTGATAGTCTGAGCAGCCAGTCACCTCAAGATCAGAACCATCTCTTTCTTCACACTTCAGAGGTATTATATCTTCTCATTCTCCTCACTATACAGGGCATTTCATTTAAATTGTACATCTTTGAATGCTCATATCTCTGAGAGGATGCAACCAATCTTGATGAAAATTGACCACTATGCAGAACAACTTTTGGCAAAATTTATTTGACAGAGTTTTTTAATCGCAGCGCCCTCTATCAGGTTGAAAAACTGATTCTACCAAAACCTCTGAAATCAAGATCTTGTCAATTGGATGAAATCTTTTAAAGCTCATCATTCATTAGATTATGCATTGATCCAGTAGCCCTGAAAATTTCATGATTTGATTGCATCTCCTTACTGAGATATCAAATATCAAACGTGATGGTAAAAAATGCTGACATCTTCCAATTGACAGATTTAGTGTTACCCAAGATGGACCAACATGGAGGTAGCCATCATTCATCCCATGGGGAGTTTTTCAAGTGATTCCCCTTGCCTCCGCTATGCCATCCAGCATCAAACATTCACAATCAGGAGATTATCCTTTGTGAAGCTTGATTTGCTTGCCATCAATCTCAATGCAAACCTGGCATCGATTGAGGACTGAGTGGCAGACCTTCTGAACCATATCCTGAGAGATGGTATCAAACTCCTCCTCAATGATTTCTTTCAGCTCAAGAATATCCCTATGAGAATGGACAAAAACCTGATCCTTGAGATATCTCCAGAGGAAGAAATCAAGGGGAGTTATATCCAGAGATCTTGCCAGCCATTCAATGGTTCCACTACGACCAATCCATTCTGGAAAGGTCTCATCCAGAAAATTTCAAACTGTTCAAATGTAATGGGGAGAAGTGCCATCTTGTTGGAAGGTGAGGCGTTCGAATTCCTCCCATTGGGAGATCACTGGAAGAACATCTTCACTCAGCATTCTGAGGTCCTGTCACTGACTGCTCAAAGATCAGTCTGACCTTTCTGGTTGAAAATTTCTCCACCCAAACCATCACCTTTTGTGTGCCCAAATTGTCCACCTCAACATATCAATTGGGATTTTGTGAGTCCCAATAAATACAATTGTGGCAATTGACAGTTTCAGCCAGGCTGAAGATCACCTCATCACTCCAAAGAATGTTGCCTTTTCATGAGGGATCAGCTTGGTCACATTCCAGAAAGTGTTCTAAAAATTCAACTCAACGGTCAAAGTCATCCTCATTAAGTTTATGAAGAAGCTTCAAATGATAGGGTTTGAACTTCAGATCCTTCTTGAATATCCTCCACACTGATGTTTGGGATATCCTGAACTCAAGTCTGATCCTCTCAGACCCCACATTCTGGTTGGCTGCAGAGTGCACCTGTGCTGCCTCTCGCACCCTCTGAATATTTTCTGGGGTTCACACAATCAGCATGTGCAACCTCGGATGGAGTACAGATCCGAAAGTCTGAAATGGTAACTGAAATGGCAAATATTCTGGTAAATGTTTGCAATCATTGATCTGCAGATTGCAACACATCTTGGCAGATTCAAAATTGTCCTCAAGGCTCTTGCAGTGTCACTGGGAGATTTTCTGTTTAGGAAATATTGCTCCAAAACATCAATTTTTTGCTCTTTGGTGTAATGACAAGCCATGGTATCTCACTGACTTAGTTGCAAAGTCGCACTAACATTATCCCAGGTAGCAAAATGCTTTAAGTGGCTAAGGTATGACAATTGATGTCTCAGTAAGGAGATGTGATAAAATCATGAAACTTTCAGGACTACTGGATCAAGGCATAATCTAATGAATGATGAGCTTTAAAAGATTTGATCAAACTGATAGCTCTTGATTTCAGAGGTTTTGGTAAAATCAGTTTTTCAACCTGATAAAGGGTGCTGGGATTAAAAAACTCCATTAAATATTTTTGCAAAAAATTGTCCTATATTGTGGTCAATTTTCATTAAGATTGGTTGTGTCCTCTCAGAGATATGACAGTACAAAGATTTATAATTTAAATTAAATGCCCTGTTGAATGTCCTAAATTACCCCTCTTTCCAGATTTTCATGTCTAGTTTATCTCAGTGGTTCTAGCCAGTTACCTAGCAGTCCTAGCATACCTTTCTGTGTTCTTGCTACCCAAATTGACAAATGTTGGATTTTCACCACGTATGATTCACAGGAAAATGCACCTATGTGGGAAGGTATGATGTGTACCTCTATATGCATAGGCACACCATTAGGGTTTTTTTGAGTTTGAACAATACAATTAATTTAATTATTAAATAATTTTAGCTATTACCTATGTCTCTCCCAGGATATATCATGCCTTGGCTGCCAGATGATTTTTTTTACTTAAAAGGTGAAAATGTTGAAACTTGCAAATTGCAAGTTATTTCCAACAATTTAGGAATATTAATTTATTCAGGTGATATGAAATACGTGATCCTCTATGTAATATGAACATATCAGAGCAGATCTAGATCAGAATAAATTTACATGTACATTGGTAGACAAAATTAAGGTAACACCATTTTTCGTCAGTTTTAATTACAATACTAAGTTAGAATGTGAAAATATGTTACTATACATACTTTTACATGCAAATTCTGAATATCCAATTGAAATTGATCCATATGCATTGCAACATGCAAATTAGTGAAGCCTATAAAAGGACGGCAGCTATTGTTTTCTTCTAAGCATGTCTCTTGGAACAAGTAATTTTTCGTTCCATGATGTAATTATTATGACTCTGTTATTACTAGTCCAAAGTTCCTTTTTTTTTATACACTTATCGGTACTGATAAATTGTATCTCTGTACAAATTTTCATTGATATAACTCATATACTGAAGACATTATTCTGGCTTTTGTGATTGTTGCCTTAATTTTGTCCACCAGTGTATGATAAAGGTAAGGTAACAGGAATGACCAATCTTATGGCAATATGACTGTTTCATCATTAGCTGTGGTCATGAAGAAATGGAGAAAAGGACAAAATGAGGCCATTATGCATTGATCCCTCCATGCAATCTATTCTGCATGATACTGAATATGACTCCAGGCCTGTAATCCATACTATTGCACATGGCTTGAATTAAACTTCACTGAGAGCAATACAGGGAAATAAGTGGACCAGTCACAAGTGACTGAAACTCGTTGAACAAATCTATTACGCTTTAAATGGAGTTTCATCATACAACAAATTTGCAGCCTTCATTTCTAAGACTCATGGAAGAAAACCTGCAGCAATTATTGCAGAAGTTCATGAAATGAAGGAGATACTGAAAGAAAAGCTAACATTATGTTATTGGAATAAAGGCTGCACTTATGGTTCAAAGTTTATCCAATGACTTGCTACATTCAAAGACTATATGTCAAAGCCTAGTGGACAATAGCAACAAAATGCTTCCAGTTAAATAATTTTTTTTGACAAGATTTTACATAATAGATGATATAGAATTGAAAAAAATCTCCTGGTTTTGAGGGTCTCACCTGAGACTGAGTGAAATCCTTGAGGGCAATGTTGTGAACAGGATCCATGAGGGCCAGTTGCCGCCTTCTAAAATCGTTCTCTGTCTCATAATCCTCATCATCATCAAACAAAGATCCTCCATCTGTTATCAGCAGGGAACTGGAAAGGAAGATGGGAGAATATCTCACTCTCATCTTGCAAATGGTATCCAGGGTTTCACAAAATCTGGATGTTAGTACTAACACTGGAAATTTAGGAGTTGCCATTTTTGAGGTAAGTGAAAATCTCTTACTTAAAAGAACAGTCTCATGTTTTTATATGTGGGTTGAGAGGCACTATGTTCATAATGCATACAGAGATATGAAAGACTGACTTCCAGTTGGGAAATCTGAGAGGATGGTGGAACAATCCTCAATCCTTGCAATGGCATCCAGGCCACAAATTCCTCCTACCTCAAGCTGACAGACTGGTTGTGTGTTTAATCTCAAAGGTGAATATTGTATCCCTTTGCATGTTTCATTCCCCCTCCTCATGTGGCTAGGCACCAGAAAAGGAGGGCATTGGGACCCCCCTTTGTAGTTAGGTTAGGTGCTGCCTTGGACTGATACTGGGTCTTCCAAAAGGCAGATAGATGTCCTACCATGCCATTAATGAATGAAAAGAAGAATTATGGGACATTATCATGGTGCTTCCATTTTTCCCATTGAAACAATATGCCCACAAAGTGTAGATTTTTGGACAATCCATCTTGAAGTTTTTTTTTTTTAGTTTTTTTTACAAGAAGTACGTGAGCTGGGGATAGCAAAATGATTCTCAAAATACATCTTAAAAAATGCTTCTTCCACTATACATACCACTTCATCACCTCTAGGGAACTCTAACAACAGGACAAAGCAGCTTTCCTGTCAAGTGTCTCTTCCCCAGACATCTAGGATGCATGTTGAGCAGACCTGATTCATAACAAGGATTGGCCAGGCCAACAGATCAAAGTTATTTTCATTGTGATTTGAAGCCAATTTCAGGATATTTGCAAAGTGCATCAGAGTAGCAAGCCACATGTAAGAGAAGCAAGGCAAAGATGTGCCAAAGCCACCACATGGTGCAAGCAGAAGTGATAAATGCATGTGCCCTGGGGAAGAGAACAAATGGATGATAGAGGTGACAGCTGTTCCCAGAAGACATCATCAGCCAATCCTGTCCACCCTTTGTAATTGCCTTCCTGCCACATCTTTCCTGCAAATGTCTAGATTGAAGTAACTTTCCAATCACACCAATTTCCTTTATCGTGTTATTTCAAGTGACATCAATAATCTGACTTTACAGTTTTCTCCACCTTCAGTTCCAGTTCTGAAATTTCATGGCTATTCTTATGCATACATTCTGCTAGAGATGCAACGATATTTTATCGGTTATCGGTATCGGCCGATATTACGTGAATCCGATATATCGGCATAATATATATGACCTGCCGATAACCGATATTGAAATTACACCTGAAGCATGCCAAACGCTAAGTATGTAAAGCGAATGATGAATATTCTCAATTTTTCCCATTTGACAACATTTCACTTGACTCGAACACACGTTCATGGGACGTTCCTCGTGCATGAGTGTCAAAGTCAAGTGAAAAAATGTCCAACTCAAGTGAAAACACTGCAGAAGGTTGCAAATGCCTAAATTACCCGTTTAAAAAAAAAAAAAGAAGTATTAGGCTGCTGAAAATATAAGCATTTTCCCCCTTTGCATAGCGCGAAGAACCCAGGCCTAGATGGATCCCAAAACCTTGGTACAAAAATCACTAGACTATAGTCTGATTTCAACTCTTTCGTGCGCAGAGGTTCCATTTGGAACCACCGATTTTCACGAATTTTATCATCTTTATATTCATGTTAGGACCGTCCCGATGGCGTATTTTGAACTCGTACCCATTGACCGGTGCCGGAGCCGGAGCCGATGATGATTTATGCTCTATAGATAGCGAAAGTAACATGAAATCGCATACGAATTCAAATAGGCCTATTTGGAAGCCTTAGGATACTAATGAATGAGTCTCCTGAAAAGGATAGAGACCACTTTTAGACCTTTCCAGCCTGTCTGTCTGCGTCCGTCATGGTTACCCATTGCTGAAACGAAGGCTTAAACGGCACTACTCGCTGATGCACAGCATAAAAGGAGATGCAATTATTTCACGATCTTTACGGCTATTTTCCTCCACCAGTTCCTACAATCGGGCTGAAATGCAATAAGTCCTCGATTTACGTCATGGATGCGTTCCCGGAAAACACGACGTAAAACGAAACCTATTTTCCCATGGACTAAATTATATACAGGAAGTCCTCGATGTATGACGTCATACCGGAAGGACGCAACGTATATGGGGTATATGTTAGCGACGTTATATCGAAACGACGTAAATCGAGGACTCCTCGCATAATCTGATCGATACTTTTTTCTGGGAGAGGACGGCAGGGAAGGCTTTCAGCGAGACAGGCAACAGGCAACAAACCGCGCTCACACTCACGTAGTTTTTTTTTTGCATTTTGCCCTCTTTCAGGCTTCGGCATAGACAGCATCCAACCTTACCGTAGCCATGGCGTCAATGGTGTAACACCAGAGGCGAATCTCTGGGGTTGTCAATACGTCGGTGCAGCCCTAATTTATCAAAAATATTAATAATGTCATAATTTATATTTGAATATTTATAATATAATGCATTACATAAATATCTTTGTAGATAAAAACTTCTGTAATATAGTAAATATGACTGATTGCCTTATAAATTTTCCTGAAAAGCAGTTATGTTCGCTTTTCATCTTCATCGAAAATTACCTGATGTGTTAACAATTTGTCAGTCATGTCTGTCTGGGTGTCCATTAGAGGTATGAAGGAGGGAACTTTGACATTCTTGACATTTTCTGAACCGAGTGCTACTTTGAAGAAAAAAAGATTTGCTATTCCACCTTATTGCAAGTTCTAGGATGGAACACAGGAAATAAAATGCCTGATGCAAATCCAATGTAATATTTAAAAAATCCACATTGAGGAGCCTGGCTTCAGGATGAGGCACCTCAAGCTTTCCCCATCAGACCTGGTCTCAAATAAAACTTAAAAGTGGAGGGATTAATGCCTGAGGGTGGATTTTTGAATAGAGAACAATCTGATAATGCAGCTTTATTCTGGGGAAAACACATATTTCCTGGAAATATGTGTTTAGCAGCGTTATCAGATAGTTCGCTGTTCAAAATCTATCCTGAATGTGCAAATGTAAATGTATATATAGATATCGGTATATGTTCTTTTCCAATATCGGAATTATCGGTATATCAGATATTGGCCAAAATTCAATATCGTTGCATCTTTAATTCTGACTGCAGTGACTTAACCTAAGGCTCCTGCCTTAGGCTGGGCATCTGATCTGGATTATTTGCCTTGCAGTAATTTAGTTGCAGGCCCTGACTGGTTTCATGCTCAATGGCAAAAGCATGCAACAACATGATTGACTTGACATATCTACCCAGCCTATCAGAGACTCTCTCAGGCTTACTTATTAGGTACTTTAATGATGGGACCAGGCATCATTTGCATTTCAGGAGGAATCTTGTTCCAGTTGATGCACTCAAGATTCCTTTTTCTGGTTACATCTCAATGTCTCCTTGAATTACCATCTCCTTATCTTAATTGCACCTTGAAAACCTTTGGAAGCCATGCCAGTATTGCATGGATGAGAAAGCAGGATGCAAACCAAGGAAGAAGGGAAGGGAATGGGATGAGGCAGCATGCATCTCTGCCCCAGCCACAACTTGCAGTCATGATATAGTATTTCAAAATGAGGATCATTTTCATATATTTTCTGCAAAGTCTGATGACTGCTGATGGCAAGATTAATAACTAATGAAACAGGGTATTAACCGTAATTAACTATTTGACAAGATGCAATTGATGTTAGTTGATAGACCTTCACTGAAAGTTTATGGATCACATGCACAATATAGAGAAGGGGCTTCATTTCCATTTTCACATTCAAAAAGTCAAATGGAAACACTTGGTGAATTTTGCCAACTGAACTGAATTTAACCCTTTCAGTCCCAAACCTGTCATATGGCAGGTATAAGCCCTAGTGCATTCAAAACCCTGAAACTAAAAGTGTTAATACCCTATGCATTTACAGAATCTAAGAAATGGAATAGGAAATATTCAGGAATCCTCTCACTCACTCCATCTGCTGACTGAGGTCATCACTTTTCATGATGTCATTGAGGACTTCACAGATATTCAAAAGGATTCCACAGAACCTTTCTTGAATAATGCTATAACAGAAAAATCAAGCAATTCAATAGCATGCACTTCAATGCTCTATCACATTGGACTCATTCTAACATGTGCAGAAGCCTCATTTTCCTGTGCTTCTTTAGACATCAAAACATCATATAGCATCACATTTTAACAGTTGGGATAAACTGAGTAATGCAGAATCAGTTGGATTCCAGGGGACACAAATAAGGAGGGTTTCCAGACAAAAGCATATATTACATTCAAGTTACAAGCAGGACAGTGCTAAGATGTGCTTCTTCACATTCACATGAAAGTAGACACCCCAAATAATGGAAATACTTGTAAGGGTAGTGATCGAGCTTAAACATGACCTATTGTGCCATTGTACTCACATACATGCACCCACTCTGAGAAGCATAAGAAAGATCTGTGGATAGATACCTGTTCCTGGCAGACATGAAGGCAGCAAGGGCAAGGGCCAGGACTTTCTGTCGCTGAGGCTGAGTGACCAAGGGCATCTTGGCCAGCCAATGATCCAGGATCTGTCCCCATACAATATCTGTACTTTCATCCACATTTCTCGCAAAGGAAGCCACCACCTCTTCAAGAAGTTCTGGGCAGTGAAGATATGTTCGACTCAAGATGGCAAGATGAAGGGAGAGTGTCATTGGGTACTCGTCCCCCTCATACACAGAGCTAAAAAGTCAGACAGATATCTTACAAAGATATTGCATTGAAAATAGCCACAGGTTCATTTTACTTGGGTAAATCTCAATAAATTCTTTTCATGAGAGATGAAGGGAAACTGCAATATGGAATCCCTCATTGCAAATGAGTTAAGACACACCTGACATTAAAATGTAAGAGGGGTTTGAAGAGACCAGGTGCATGGTAAGGCAAAGCAATGAATGCAATTTCCTCCATCCTTAGGATGTACAAGATGCCTTCAGCCTTCAGGTCACTCATCAGTGATGTACACACACTCACTATTGCTTGTCCATACAACTGCAAAGGAAGTCAGATATTCAGAATGGAGTACATGAAAAAATAAAACAGACATTTTTCTGTCAGTGAGCAGGCCTACAATTCAGTATATATATCTAAGCAGAAAATCTGAAAATAATTTTTTTTTGAGATTCTGGATGTAAACTCTGGATTTTTGCCAATTCAGGCACAAATGCCTCTTGCAGCCAATCCATCCCTAACAGACTTCAAAGAAGACTTATCAGAAAGTAACAAATTCAGTTGCAGGAAAGCCTATGAAGTTACACAAGAAGTACCTTGAGGAATGGCTCAGGAGAAAGAAGAATGTAAGCTTGGGTGATCTGCAGGCAGCTTCGCATGTTCTCAGTCCCAAATTCTGTCAAAGGAGGATCCTCTATAATACCACTCAAACAAACACATCCCCTGAAACTATAAGGGATCTGGGCTTAGAGCAAGCATGAGAGGAAAGTTCATTTGTAGGAAAGCAGAAGATTAGCACACATGCTCAGTTCACACTTCAGATCAAGGATTGGCAACTTCACTCATGAGCAAGTCCTCTGTGATACTAGTAACAGCTCTCAAACTTATTGATGAAAATCCTTGCAAAAAGAAATAACTTCTTTTCTTACCTGTCTCCACAATATGAAAAGTGTGGCAGACACTTAGGTTGTTAGCAATTTGTATCTGTTTGTTGAAGCATTAAGAAGATTATTTATCCCAACAACAGCAGTATCTGATATGCTAAATATACATGGTCCAGAGTCTCCTCAGATCATAACTTTAGGGAGAGATCCTTCACATAAAACCATATAATGACAGCCTTGACTAACTGCAAGCATGATCTACTATCATGCATACAGCTAGCCACATTGATATATTTCTCTCTGAACCTTATACCTGTTTAGATTTGCCAATCCTGCATGCTATTTCCATTCCTTACTGTTTCTTTTAAGGATAATGCCCTTTTTTTTTTCGAAATTTAGAGCTCACTTTTGAAAATGTTCCAAGGAATTCTGAAAACTCTAAGTGTTTTCATCAAAACTGAATACTCAATCTCATTGTTAATGAGATTGAGTGCATACTAAAATAAAACACAGACAGAAAAAAAAGGGCACAGCATAATATTTATTTCCTTGTAGGAACTACTTTTCTAGTTGGAATGATGCAAGTAGGAATGATATGTCTCTTTCTTGTCTTGTGTACCTCTTCTTCAAAAGTACTATATTACATGAGAAGACAAATGCATGAAAATGAAATTTCTCTGAAACTCAAGAATGACTAGATGCACTTTGCACAATTGGAGCAAGAGCACTTAGCCTCTTGCATTCTAGATATCTAAGCTAAGGTAGTTCCAAGGAGGATAAGAAACCCTTACCAAGAATGGGAAGAAGGTTGGTGTAAAGTTGGAGTAGTTCATCACAGGGGCTGCTGGAATTCTCAATGACGGCCAGCCAAAGATCAAGACCATCCTCCATAAGATAAACATGGGCATTCTGTCTCAGGTCCGTTGCAAGATACAGTGCAGGGATGAGGAATGGGCGCAGCTGCTCGCTCAATGTCCCCAGGCTCTGGTGACATTTCAATCCATAACAATGGAGATCATAGTGGTAGTGTGTTGGTGATGAAGTTGGTGTTTGATTCCTTCCTGTTCCCACCATATGCTGAAAGAATGCCACAATACTGGCATTCCTTCTAATTTATTACTTCCTCCTAAGTTTCAATTGTGCTGTGTCTGCATTCTGTTGCATGATGGAAATATCTTCCACAAAAGTCTTCTAAAGGAAGGCAAGCAGACAAGAACAGAATTACAATCTGGTGGACCAAGGAATAATTATGGAAAAATTGAACCATGGCTGTCATGTGGAGTTATTTGGATACATATCAGCCTATGGGGTTCATGCATGCATGTTCCATAGCCTTCAATTCCTCAGGTATAATGAACCTGCAATGCTTATATTCCAACCCCTAGAGGCCCTGTGTGATCAGAATTTGCTTAACTGGAGTTCAGACAAATTCTATTACTTTGCATAGGTACTGTACTTGATGATCTCCTGGCATAATATTAATAAAAATGTAAATTTAAAAGCTATAAGTCATTGTGTTATTTTCTGATATTACCAAGGAAAGGAGCAGAGTTCCAAGAAACAATGAATCTCAGCAAATGGTACTGAAAATTTAATTTGCTAGTTCATTGGCATTACTGTTAAAAAGAAGCTACTTTTAGAAGGGATATCTCAATATTGGAATACCCCTGAATTTGTAGCAGTAATCTTTGGGAGGAATAGAAATATAAAGAGATATAATATGGGAAAGAGCACTGGTGACTTTATTGAGCATACTCAACATATGCAGAAATTCTGGTATTTCTTTTCATGCATCATGAATTGGCTCTCTTGTCAGTATCTTTCCCATTGCAGCAAATTAATGGGCCTCTCCCCCACTCAAAATCCACAATTTTCACATATCTTTTAGGTGATGGTTACCAAAGAACAAAAATAAATAGTACTCACCTGTACAATGTGAACAAGAGTGGTGAGGATGGCACAGCGTAGCATATTGTGTTCTGCTGAGTCTTCCCACACCATTGGCAGGTACTGCACCAGTCCGGAAATGTAAGGGCGAATTGCTGATCCCACCCTCTCTATTATGTATGACATGATGTGCAACACTGACATCTGAAATGGAAATGATGGAGTGATACAAGAGATGCATAATGATTCGAATTCTCTTTCCTATCAAACTTTCTGAGAAACTTCATTTCTTAGTCATATTTTTATTTCATGGGCATAGAAAAAACCCCAAAAATGTTAAATTTCCATAACTTTCAGGATTTACAATTGTGAAGTTTTATTACCTAGATATGAAGTCCTTTTCTGAAACAGTGCACAACCAATGTTGTGAATGTGTCCATCTACATAAAACAGCAATCACCTGATTTAACAGAATACAGCCTGGCTTTTCCTTTGCTTCCTCAATCTCAATATGTCAAGAAAGACTTGCATAAACATTCATATAATCTATTTAACATCATTATGTCATACCTTTGATGCTTTCTTGGGTCATTTTTATCCTGTCATATTTCATATTTTCAGGTCTTTGAATTTGTGCTGATTGATGAGCTATTATAAATCATGAGCGAAACTGCTTTCCTCAGATTTCATACATATTAAACATGGAATCTCTGCTAATTGCCCACAATTTTCTCTTGTTTATGGATTAGGTATTCCAATTAAGTTGACCCATTCCAGAAGGTGTCATACAATATGGCACCAAGCACTCTTGGTCTTGGGAGTGCTTTCTCTCTGTCCCTAGAATGCCAGACACTTAAACTTACAAGCCATAGCAAATATAGTACAAGAGTTATAATATTAGATGTGCAGTTATGCAGGCTTAACCAGGGGCACAAAGTATGTTAGCAGGAACAGAAGGGTATGAGAATAACATTAGGACTTCTTTTAGTTCATGAGAAATACTTGAACATTTAGTTTACTGATGCTGAGGCATGAATATAGACATGAAAGTAGTACTTTGAAGTAATAGGCATGAAAACAGTATAGAGCTGACATAGACAGGTACTCAAACCATTTACTTTTTAGAAATATTGTATGAAATCTCTTACATTCACAACACCATATCATGGGAGCATTTAGTTATGTCCAACAAGAAATTAACTTACATGCCAAACAGAACAATGCTGATGAAAGAGACTTAAACAAATACATATCATAGAATGATTGAGATATTAGCCATTTTTTAGCTTCAGCAAGCAATATGAGCTAGTAATAAAAGCAAAAAAGTGGTTTCTATCAAGTTCATGACATCCAAAGCCAGACTGTCATAATCATCAACATTTGGCATTATGCAAGGATTGATTTTTCATAATAGGGTCCCTCAAGAAAGTAACACTTTGATGTATAAAGCATATGACAGGTGTTGTTCTAAGATTCTCATCCTGGCCTCCTGCCCATGCATCCTGGAGGTCCCAGGACCCCTAGGACACACAGGCAAAAGGCCCAAGATTGCTGGATTGAATATCATACTGCTTGGTTATGTTAAGTTGGCAACTATACATGGATTGCTGGACATGTACTTTTGGGAAACCCTTCAAGATTCCCTCGTGCTTCACTTGGAGAGTTCAATCAATTGTCATTATCAGGGGACCCTTCCAAATCAGACCTGGTGGTCCCGGGGACCCCTACGGCAAGAAACATAATGCAACCATGTATGAGATTCCATACATTTCTCATGAGCCAAAGAGGAGCTTTAATCTGATTAGTTATCTGTCTTCAAAGCCACAGGTTATGGTTTTGCATCCTTAACAAACTTGAGAATACTTTAAGGGCAAAGTCACTCCCTCCGATGTCAACCAAAAAGAGATGAGTTTATGTGAAGAACTTCCAACAGCCAGATTATCTGAGCCATGCTTCATGGTATCAAGCTCCAGTTATCATTGTATTAAGGAGATATTACATCTAAAACTGTGACGTAACAGTAAATAGATAATATATACTTTTTCTTTTCATTGAAAAAATTAATAAACACTTCAGAGTGGACAAATTTTTATTTGGATTCCTGGAAGATTACTCCACATCCCAATTCACTAAAATATTATTGCTGGTAACTTCAGGAGCTTTGACTGGGAGAAGGCTTAAGCCTAGCATGAAAGCAAGGTGATTTCACTTGCCTTGGTATCACATTCTTTAGTCTCCTTGAGGAGAGAGAAGAGGCACATGAAAGATTCTTCTAGATATGGCATGAACTGTTCAGTACTGAACTCAAAGTCTTCTGCAGCCAATTTTAGAGTGGTGGCTGCAGTGATTCGCACAACCACATCCTCATCAGGTCGCAGCAGCGGAAGGATGGCGTCATAAAGCATTGGCCTCAATTCTGGTGAGAATCTCACCACAGTCCATTGCCCTGCTCAAGTAAGACACAGTGCTATTCATCCAAATACTTTTCCAGTATCAAACATGGACTTTACAGAGATTTTGTTAGTAAAGGAGTGCTATTACATAATGGAAAAAAAAGAGAGGATCTCACATTTATAAGTCATGCATGTATAATCCATGCTTATATATAAACCCTAACAGTCACTACAAAACTCTAATGTTGTTTGAAATGACAAAATTCAAAGCTGACCCTTATGAAATGCTGTAATCAATGTTGAGGCATATCAAAGTTCTAGTCAGGCCATTATAACAAGGCTGCTCAATTATAACACAAGAACTTCCATTGCCAAACAGTCTAAATTTTGGCATACTTTTTTTGGATAAATTATTATGGATCGCCCTGTACTGAATGGAGGCATGTCGTATCTGTTCATGCTTAGTTATATTTCTTTTATAGGATAGTAAGAGAGAGCTCTGGTTGGACAACAGTAACAACATTGTGCTTATACCTCCTGGGCTTTATCTTAAATTAAAATGATAGGATTCTCTAAATGTCAGTATATTAACAATGATAGTTTACTCCATGGTTGAACATACCAATGAGCCAGATAACTCTTCTCCTCAGAATTCTGTGGACTGGGCCAGTGAGCTTCAGCTCTACGTGCAATGTATTCTTGAACCACTCATCAAAGTCAACCTAGAGAAACCAGTCTGAAGCCATGAAATGAATCAAAACAGAAATGTTCTCTCCAGCACCTCACAAAAGGTACATTTCAAATGATGAGTGTTTCTAATCTAGAACCATGATAACAAGATGTAACATTTTTTTGTTAAAATCAAACATGAGAAGATGCACATATAGGTGAGCAGACAAGCAACATTGGGACATGAAGCTACCTCTTGTTTTTTGTTTTTAAGATTATCCACTAAAAATATTATTTACTCACTTCATCGAAGAGATCAAAGGCAACAAGCCCAGCTGCATTGTAGATAGCATCTCTCCTAATGATGATGCTCAATTCATCTGTGGTAAGAACCTCTTTGTGATCTTTCAGGAGTTCCAGGAGACGATCACGAAGGGAGGATCTGAATTCATGGAAGAGAGCTAGCAGGAGACTCTCCACTGCAGGCTGAGATTAAGGAGAGAACCATGATACATGTCTGCTTTTGAGGACTTTGTGAGTCAAAAGAAAGGTACATTGAAAAATTCTCCAGACACAAAAACTTCCTAAGATGATATATGTGCACAACACAGCTTTTGGGAAATTCAGATTTACCTTTCAATGGCCAATACTCATTCAGCTAAGTGTCTGTAAGAGTATCTCAGACATAGGATTCCTTGAATTTCCTGAATGAATCTTGAAAGCATTATCTAGGAATGCTTGCATGATTCTCCACCAATAGTTTAGGACCTTCACAATAAAAATGGAAATGCTAGCTGGCCCGTGGTAAGCAATGTACGCATAAACGAACAAAGACAGGAACATCAAAGAGCCTCTTGAAGACACAGAAGTAGGAAGGAATATGAAATACTTCAGTAGCACTATAATCATCTGATACTATATTCATTAGCATCTTTCAATCCATGCTTTATGGTCATGCATGGACTGCATGATAAAATAGTTCCATAAAATGACAAACCACAAAGAAATATAACTGATGAATGAAAGAAAAACCATACTCACCCTTAATGAATATCGCCATGCTTCTCCTTCTTCGTCTGTCACTGCATTAAAAAAAAGGAAAGCAATATCTTAGATCACATTCTGAAAAAATAATCTAAAAATGCTTCTTTCTAGGAATTTCTTTGGATGTAATGTAGTACTAATTAAAAATTTCACCTGCTGAAACAGTGATGCATTGCAGTAATCAGGTTTGTGCATCCTAACACATGGCAACAAAAGACCTTTGGTAGAGTGACATAAACTTTGTGCATCAGCCAGTTTATCAATACCTGAACACAAAACATAATTAATCAAATTTGTTGATTTTCTTACGTCATCATATCAGCCATCAGTTCATGGATCAAAAACTACCATTAGCAAATCCCCAGTTCCAAAAATATTGAAAATAAGAGTTTTACAATTATAACATCATTAACCAAAGTTGGAAGGTATGAAATATATACAGTGAAAACTCGTTAACTCGAATCCTGATAAGTCTAAATTCCGCTTATCTCGAAGTTCAAAGCTTGGTCCCGGCGGAACCCCGTAAGACACCATGTTAAATGCTCCGTTTAACTCGAATTCGCTTATCTCGAATTTCCAGATATCTTGAATGAAATTTTCACTCCCGATAACGAATTTCTCACAGTTAACTCGAATTCAGGGTGAGAAGGGGGGAAAAATTTTTCTCTTGGGACTTTTCTTTAAATACTTTTGAATAGGAGGAATGACAAGAAACACGTTCGGGAGGATGTTCTTTTGTTTTTTTTTCTTCTTCTCCCTCCTCCCACACAGACGCCTGTGGCGAGGATTAAAACCGAGAAGCTTCGGCAATAAAAAAAGGCAGCCTCAAAAATTCTCGCTGTCTATCTATCGCTCTCACTCCGAGCCATTCTAGTCATATTCACCTTCCTTTACGCCATTTGTGTGGAGTGAGCTCACTCGAGAGGAAATTGAAGACTCTGACGCTCGAAGAGAAGGTACACTTTATTCGGACTGGCGAAGAAGGCCATCTGAAGAAGAAAGGCATCGCAGAGAATTTCGGGATTCCTCCCTCTACTCTCTCAACCATTATGCGCAGAAAATATAAGGTTTTGAGTGCACATGAGAAGCGCCTATTTACAGCAAGTTGCAGGAAAATGAAGACAGCCAAGCATGGGAACGTGGAGTTCACACAGTGCCAATCGACTTGTTTAGCTGCTCTGAGCATTTCATAATTTTCTATTTAGGCCAAGGTTCACAGGGGGGGGGGCGATTCCTGATAACTCGAACTTCGGATAACTCGAAACGATTTGCCCAGTCCCTAAAAGTTCGAGTTAACGAGTTTTCACTGTAATAAAGAAACATTTTTGCAAAGAGATTACAATATATCAAAACAATATTTTGCTAAAACTGTTCCTTGCTAATGCATATGCTGATGCAAAAAGATCATCTAAATTTCATCATTCTCCTTTGTCCTCTATTGAAATTGGGTCAGACTTGAACACCGCACATATATTCAGAAATGGCATGGCCCCTGATTTAACTATATAAAAGAATTAACTTCTAAACGCCAATCAGTTTTGGGAGCTTGAGAAGAGACTACTTTGGATCCAGCTAAATTTTTGCTAAAGAAAATATTCATGGTGCTTCTGTAGGAGCCATTTTCTAAGTTGTCTCCTGCCTATCATGTCTCATCATTCTGTAACATCGAAAGCCATCAACCCGTAACATAGAAAGCAACCATTTTCAGCATCATCATTTCTGCTATTGCTGAAATTAGACAGGCTCAATGTAAATCCCACATGGTCTGCAGCAGATCAAGTAACTAAGAGGTAGCACTAACTCTAGAGAAAAAAGACTCACCAAAAGCTTCTGGGTCTGTTTCCCAAAGCTCCAGGTCTTCTTGCTTCAGGGGGAGGTATTCATCCATTATCGCAACAAATATTGTTGTCAGGGTCTGAGATGTGAAGAACTGGCATCGAATGGTCTGTGCTTCTATTGCCAATGGATCCCTCTCATCTGCATGGAACATCAGGGAGACACATGGAATGTGGCAGGTCTTGAGAGAGCATAAGCCTTTGGAAACACAATCTCTCCTTTGAAGGATAACTGGTTCTAGTACCACATGCCTTGAAGTTTCACTGCTATATCAGGCAAACACAGGGTGTCCATAAAGTTGTTACCCATGGACAACGTTTTCCCTCTCAAAATAAGTTAGGATGAATAATTATGGTCAGGTAGATAATGCACTTCTAAATTCCAAAATTGCAGTCACTCAATCCTAGTGTAAAATTTAGGTTTTGAGGAAAATATTAAGATAAAACACCAAAAATTTTTTAAAGAACCTGGTTAAACCACTAACTCACTCAATGTGATTCATCCCCACCAATCTGCATTTTTAGGCAATGCCTGCAACAACCTGCAACATCGCTGTTGGCAAGGATACATCAAGATATCCTGGATTTAACTTAAACTTCACTTGGACACAGTGATTGCTGCTTGGGAGTATGAAAATGGAGAATCTAACCAGCCATATTTATTCAACTCTGCTTATGCCCATAGGGATAAAGTTGTCCACAGGAAGTGATTTTATGGGGTTATGTGCAAAAAAAAACTTCAGCTATCTTCATCAATCTACAGCACTGGTTCCCAAGAGTTTGCTAAAAATGTAATAGTGCATCCATGTAGAACATTCTTTTAGCTTTCAAATGATGTCAACAAAATAAATGTTTGTGGCCCAACAGCAGTTATATAAAGAGTATAAGAGGTGCTGCTGGAAAAATTGGTGCCATACTGCAATTTCAGCCAGTGCATGCAAGACTTCGCCTACTCGCCATAAGTGAAAGAATGGACCTCACCTGGAGCACATCCATATTGTACTGGTAAGTGCATTTCAAGCATTACCTCTGTTACATTGTGCATAACCACATCAGAATGACAATTGGATCTGAAATTTTTTTACATCAGTGGAATGCTAGATAAAAGTTTCATATAAAAACAATTTTACAATATTTTTAAATTCTCAAGAAACTATGCTGTGAAGCATTAAAGATAACTAAAGATTTTTTTGGCCCGCCCTGCATTTCCCCCCCATATCCGAGTGGACTATGGACTCTTTACATCTCAAAATGCATAGCTTCAAAATCACCGAGGATAGAGGCTAAAAAAGATACACAGATCAAAAACGTTGCATCATAGCTGTCACTGAACATTTCAGTGGGAGTGCATTTCAGAGGTGCAGTGAGGGAAACTGAATAATCTCATTTCTGGGCATGGAAGAAGAACTTGAAAGATAAGGTGAAACCCACTGCATGGAGGAACTGCAGGAACACTTGCATTTCTGGCATGAGGCTCTTGAAGACATTTGTGGGAATATAAAAACCCATTTAAGGCACACTTTGTGAATATACTTTAACCTCCCTTGGTAGAGCATCAATTACAATGCTTGCAATTTCAGTTATAACATCTCTTGCACTCTGTCCTGTTAAATCTTATACACAGAGTGGCCATTAAAAAAAAAAGGCACTATTTCAATGCACATTTTTGGTGTGATGTTTTCAAGGATATTTTTTCTGATTACATGTAATGGAAAGAAGAAAGATTCAGCTACAAATGGTTTCATAAGACTTTAAATATCTTAAAGGATGACTAGCAATTTTTTAAATTGGATTTCAGTTATGAAAAATCTGTTATGCTCACCAACTCGACCCAGCATCCACTCGACTTCCCTGCACTCACAAGAAGAGGAAGGGAAATGCTGACCTTAGCAGATGTCACAAAGCTGATTGGATGTGCCTGCTACTGTATGTGGTCGGTGAACACAACGGTGATTTTTAGGAACCGATATTCAATCATTTTTTCTAGGTCATCCTATAAGATATTTCAAGTCTGAAAAAAAAAAAGAATTTTGTAGCTGAATCTTCCTTCTTTCATTTACATGTAACCAGAAAAAATATAATTGAAAGCATTGCACCAAAAATGCGCATTGAAAAGAATGCAGTTTTTTTATGGGCCACCCTGCATATGTGAAATTGGTCATCTTCAAAACACTGGGGAGGGGGCATTTCAGCATGATTCTATTTCTCTGGAAACACAATTGTGGCTTGTTAAGGAGGGAAGTCTTTCTTACATGTCAGGATCAATGACCCATTTGCTGGCAGCAGATAGAATGACATTAAGTTGTGAAATTGACATTTGAAAGCCTTTTTATGTAGGCATAACACAATATTCAATAAAGGTCATGCACAAATTATATTAAATTGGATCAAAAAGACTATCCACCCATGCTCTCATCTGACTTGCACTTGCCACATGAACTCTAGTAAGGTTTAATAATGACTAGCAAGTTAAAATATCACACTAGCATTAATGATAAAAAGCAAAATTGAGAGGTAAACACAATATATCTCACCTGCTGAGTTCTTTGAAGCAACATACTCAGCACAGAGTAAGATGGACTTAACCAGGTTCATGCAGTGAACAAGGAATCTCTCAAAGGCATAAACTCGACCTATGAAGGAAATGAAATAGAAAATTAATTACAGCTTTGATACCCTTAAGACCATTTCCTGTATTTTTCATACAGCTGTACTGTACAGGGTCTCTTCAGTTCACATTAGTCATTATGCACATTATGTTCACATTATGCACAAACTTTTATGAAATCAAAGCAGCTTCAAAATATTCAGAATTTGGCTGGTGGATGGGCCACTCTAACTTGAAACAAAAAAATTAAAACTATTGGTGCACTAATACTTGAAAATATGGCAGAACTGCTGAAGCAAAAATGCTGCCTCCTGAGACCCAGTGCCAAAGGTATGCTTTGTTGACATTGAAGATTAAGCACCATTTTTTTATTGATATCAAGCTAACCAGGTGAATTTTTAATTCTAGTGTCCATCAAAAGGAAAACAACATCCACCAAACAAGTTTTCATTAAACCTGAACACTTTGACATTAAATCACATATACACACCTGGTACTTAAAAAAAAAACAAATATGACATATGCAGGGTGTAAGTCCAGAGGTTGTATGAAGTCCAAGGACATACCAACTGGGTCAAATGCATAGAAGCAACAAAACTCCAATGCAGGATGAATGAAGGGGACAAATGAGAGTGGATAGTTCTTGAGAATTTCAGCCAGAATCTTCAGGTGTACAATGATGTACTTCTCACAGGAGGATCTCAAAGTCTCATCTGTTTTCAACACCTCTCCTATGGTAACAAGGGGGATTCATGTATCACTTTCTACCCTCAAACAAAGCAGTGAAACTCCTATTACTGTGGAGGGTGCACACGTTTTATAATTGTCTTGCATTAAATAAGCTTCAATGATTATAAGAGCATGATAAATTTCAGAGATACCTTCATTCCTGAAATATGACTAATTAGACAGGAAGAAGCTGGAGTTCTTCCTTTTCCCAAAGAATAAATATTGACCTCATTGGCCAGTAGATATTATACACAAAGCAGGAAAACTATAAAACAGTTGAGCACAGATTCACTTGACAGACATTACTTACTTTTTGTCATAGATATTTTTAAAAATAGAAAGTACTATTTAAAAAAACATATAAAGTTTGCTTCATTTAAAAGAATAATAAATATACCATGATGGAACTCATGCAGGCAAACTTTAGAAAAATCATAAACTTTTTTCTATCTTTCCACATTTCATGATTTTTAAGAAACCTTCCCCAATAAGAATTGCTTGATACATGCACATCTGTCTGATCTCATCATTACACATGCAGTTTACAAGCCCTTAACTGAAATAGTAAATAGAAGTGACAGATGGTGGAGCACAGGAGTGGTAGAGGTCTTACTCATTTGCAGAAGTACTCGTGCTCTGAGAAAAAGGCTTCCCAGGAAATTACTAGCATCAGGAGACTCATGAGGAGTCAGAAACCCTTGTGTTGTCAAGCTCTTTAGGATCTTCAGATTCAGTATACAGCGCTCCATGTAAGCAGCAGTCTGTTGGTTGCCAACCTGAACCTGCAAGGTACTTTCTTATTACTCACATGGGACAAAAACTTCCAAAATCTAAAACTAACTAACTTTTAAGAATCCTACTACCTGCATAAATGTATCTTTTCATAGTGCACAAGAATGACAGTTTTCTCAAAGTACTTATAGCAGATTCAGTACTCACATTATATCTGACATATGAGTGATTATGTTACTTGCTTATATACTGTATATTCCAATGGTTCCATGGAAATAATGTTTTATGTGGAATAGTTTGGCTTTAAGGGGCATTCAAAAAAGTATCTGACTAAAGAAAATAACACACGAAGTGACAGATGTCTTCAAAATAGGCTGAAAATTTTTTATATTTGGAGATGAAGTACAGAATTTGTCAAAACATTTTTTCAGTATTATATCAATGGGTCTTCTGAAAGAATAAAAAAAATTGAGACAGTGATCAAATTTCTAACCCTAGATGAATCAATCTCCCAATAGATATTTCAGCTGAGGGTCAGTAGGAAACTGTCCCATCAGTTCTCAAAGATCTCCCAGGAGATTGACTCCCATGGTTCTCTTAGGAGTCATGGGGCTGAATTGTTTGTGCTACTTCCACATATTTCATGCATCTTGTTGACATAGATTGGGAGATATTTTCTTAAAAACATAAAAGGACAATTTATTGGACTTATGATTCATATATTAACCCATAGCATCTTGTCATTTACAAGTTAGAAAGTAAACCCATGTAAAAATAATATATGTAACAGGTAAGAGTATTTTTTTTTAATGAAAAAGTTAGTGGAAGATGATTCTTACTGCATTCATGAGTTCTTCAACAGAAGCACTCCACATACTCAACACAAATGTGTAAAGATTGGCAGTGAGTTCTTGAAACAGCTTCCTATCTCCAGCAAGTCGCTTCACTGAAAGAGTCTTGATGACATGATGCAGTGTGAGCATTGCTCTATGTTGGTGAAGATCATTATCCACTTTCACAGCATTCATCAATGTCGGAATAAGGGTTGGCCAATCACGGGGGCAATCAAAGCGAGCAATTCGCCCAATCATCACAGCCATTTGGAGTGCTATCTGGTTCACAGGTTCATCAAAGCGCATCAGCAGCCATTGACGAATCTTCACCTTTTCCTCTTCAGGAATCCCACTGCATAAAAAATATAACATCTTTCTGGGTTTCCTAAATCAAAAGTCACGCAAACATAACTGGAACTTTCAACCTACACATGTTATATTTACCTTTTAAATTGTGATTTTTAAATTGGTATCCACTTTAGCCAGCAGTTTTACTACCATGCAAAACCTTATCTTGCACCTTCAAAATATCATTTTTACAGTCTAGTACACCAGTTTTAAGCTAATTGCACAAATATTTAAGCATCCCTATACCATGCTTCTGCTTTATTTGTGTGAGCCTTTTGGCATCCCAGGCCTCTCATGCCACTTCTAATATCTCCAGGAAGTGTTCAGAGTGGAAGCAGATGTTGGATTCCACAATAACCTAGTTGTCATGATATGAAGTCTCATACCATTAAATAAAAATTTTTCTGGAGGGAGTCTAGAACTTCATGGAAAAGCTCAAAGGAGCCCAAAAAATCTCATGCGTACAGCATCCAGAAAGGCAGATTACATACATACATAGATGGCATAATCTAGCATGTGTGTATATGCTTCAATTTAAATAGCACAGGGGGGAAAGCAGAGTTTTAATATATCATTATATATCATTTCTGTACATGAATCTATAGCTAATCAAAGGTTACAAGAACAAAAATGAGATTTCCTCCTGGGTTTCAATCCACATGACCCACAAAACATCAAATCATGTTGATAGGAGACATAAAGAGGGTACATTACGACTCACATATTTATTATCTCTATAGCTAGTAGCACTTACAAAACATGAAATTTATCTTATTAAGAAATATATCCAGGCACCAAAAAAAAAGAGCATCATATTCAAGAGAATGGGTTATCCTTAGCTCTAACAATACATTGTTTATTACATCATTTTTAACATTTTGGCAATCCAAGGCTGCTTATGTGATACAAGATAGAGTTTTAGACCCCCTAACTTACTTGGGCGCATGGCGTCTCCAATAACGATCCACACCATTCTTGAAGTATAGTGCTGCTAGCATTCTGACGTTCACATCAAGGTTGTGGTTCAGTAGGATTTCCTGAGGAAAAAAAAAGAGAAAAACTATTAATGCATATTTCAATATAAAACTGAAGTCAGAGTGAATTGAAGAAGAAAGTTTTCAAAAAGTGATGAGTGAGAGGTTACAAGTTGCCTAGCTAAGGGGGTTGAGGAATCAAGCAGATCCATTGCAGTACAGGGTCATTTTCTACCTTCAAGCTGGATAGAATCACTTATCATACATCAGGACAACAGAAATGCAAAAAAAAAAAGCTTTTTGCTTCTTATTGGGCTGGGTGATACTGGGTAATCCCACTTTCAAGGGTGTTCATCATTCCCCAAAATAGATTAACTTTCTCACTCTGGCCATAGACATAAATGGTGGGAATATCACCCACCTCCAACTATACCAGAACAATGACAAGTCTCATCAGAAAGGCAAAAACTAAACCAGAATGGCATAAGAAAACTGGCACCTACAACATGACTTGGGTCTGTCTCAGAGGAGACCCCCTGACCTGCGTACAGTGCACATGCCTGGAAAGGCTGTGGCACATGCTAACAGATGTAAGGGCCTGGGTGGGACATGTAACATGCCACTTCAGGGTGCCAAGGCCAGTCATGTATGATGAGTTTGCAGTATTCACTGTGCAAAACAGCAGGCATGTGCTGTCAAGCAAAACTGGTGTAAGTATACTTACAATATCATACCTCTAACCTTGCTCATACTTTGCCCAGGGGATGTGGGAAAGCATGGTAAATTTAAGCCAGACAATGCCTGCTGGAAATGAAAACATCTTAGGCCCCAATGCTCTTGATCTCTTCTACATTCTCTTCTTCATGGTTACCTACCATGGTCAACTAGATTGAAATATGGTGAAACTTTTGATTTAGTACTGAAACCGTTTTCAGTCAGTATTGCCCATTCCTAGTTTCTAATAATATTGCTGCTCTACCAAGTGGATGAAAATGTTAACCACGTATTATTTACAGAGTTAACACAATCAGAATTCAAATTTTACTGATTTGCCCTAGGCCTATGTTCATAGCCATCCCTCTACATCTGGAGGTACTTTAGCCAACTGAGGATTAAAGTCACTGAATCCCTATCCTTGATGAACCTACCCTTGTTACAAAAGAGTTAAAAAAGAATCTGCTATTGAATGCATCTAACTTCATGAGCAATAGCAAACAGGATATTGGAACATCTGAGCTTCCTTCCTAGACATATACAACATTGCTATGTAGGTTCATTATTGAGTTGATTCTTGCATACCTCAACGCAAACACTATTCATACCTGGATTTTGCCAAGTGAATGCCTGGTCATTATTTCTCTCCCATCACTTTTCATTCTTATAAATCTTACTCTCTATGAGTTCTACAGAAGGCTTCCAATCAAAATTCAAACTGTCCTCAATCTGCATAGTATATCTATATAGTTCAACTCAGAGGTCGGTCATGAAACTTCAAGTGTTTACAAGATGAAAGCCAGGTGCAAACATGGTGAGTGGTGTTCACACTGTAACTAGACATGATGGTCATAAGTAGAAAAGGTACCAGCTAAATGTTAAGCCTATTCTCACGACCAGGTTTCAAACACAAAAAGCTCCTGGCCCGAGTGGACCATGTCTTTGGAACACCAGATAACTTTGCCCCTCTTGGTTAGAACATAATCTAGCATACACTTACTGCCAAAAGTATTGGGACAAGCCACCCTCCATTGATATGAGATTGTCCCAAAGGTCATGTGCTCTGTAGAGAGTATTATGGAAGTCCAAAAGTTAATAAAGGTAATCTGCAATCTGTTACAGCCAGTGTTAGCCATTATGGCATGTGAATTGGAGCTGACAGTTTGAATATGGAATGGTAATTGGTTGCCATACCATAAGTATGACTGTGTGTAAGATGGGGCACTGTAAGTCAAAAAAGTCAACTATGTGGAATATATATGGATGTGCCAGTGAGAAACCTAGACCAGCACAGCAAATGGTGAAATATGAGGTGATGACAAGCTGGATGCTTAACCTAATATCCATCACCCAGGTGGTCAACAAACATACAAGCACTTCAGCAAGTGTGTTTTCACTATATGCAGAGAATTGCATGCAGAAGGATTTTAGGGTAAGGCAGCCACCTACAAGCCAATGATCACATCTCTGAATACACAGTGACAACTCTTATTTCTATTGTCCCAATACTTTTGGCAATATAATGTATGTAACCTCTGACCTCCAATTTCACTGTAAGGCTAGACATCAGTGTTAGGTACAGGCTAGGATTAAGTGGGCCTAGGTCAAGCTTTAGGCCTGATATTGGCCGAGAACTAACCACAAGAACGGAGTAGAAACCGGGCTGGGCTTCCCATTGTTTCAGCTTCTCCTCGGCAGGCTTGAGCACGTCTACATTTTGACTGGAAGCACTTTTCAGGGTTTCGAACACGATGGCTTTAGCTTGGTCCAATTCCTGATCCATGGTGACCCGAGGAATCTGCAGTCCGATGATACCGTTCATGAGTTAGTCGCGACGAGGCCCAAACACGGCGCCTCGAAAGAAATTCGACTGCAGGCCCACGCCGAGGCCTGGGGCCCGGCGACGAGGCCTAAAATATTTGGTCCGAAACGAATTTCATGGACTCGGTCGTCCGAGTTCGCAAAGTTCAGGGACACGAACACAAGACACCGCCGTTCCCCGTTCCGTCTCCGCCTCATTCATCCGAACTCGTGCCACGCCACTGTGTCATGCCGCCGCTGCAAGCGGCCATCCACGGAACAGGGTTGGCGCACCGATCGCAATCATAATTTCATTATTTCCTCGCTTCTCACCGACCGTGAAACCCCGTCGAGTTCGTCAAGGTGATCGGGTGCGTGCACGTCTCCATGCTCGCACGCAGAGGCTGCTAAGAAAATGGGGAGAATCAAAAGGAAAGCACGCAACGGAACCGAAAGGAGTGCGGCAAAAGAAACGAGACGAAATAATGAAAGAGAAGCACAAAAGATCATCTAGGAAAATGAAAAAAAAAAACAAAGAAGCCCGATAGAAACGAGAGAGAGGGAAACACGAATAGGACCGATGATTCTCAACGTAAAAGCTCAAAGGAATTTCACCTGACGATTCCCAAGAATTCTGAAAATTAACTGGGCCAAAGAAGAGTCAACCTATCCGGATTCGAGGGGACTGGTGATTTTGTCCGGATTAACGGCTCGTCCGGATTAATGAGAACCTGCTCGAGTGATTTTTCATATTTTCTCAAGGAGAAGAAAGCTACACCTCTACCGTGCAAAAAGGCCTTAACCCTACAATGCATGATTATTCTAACTGTACCTAAAAAATTATTGACGATCATATTTTTTCAAGTGGTTGATGAGAAATATAATGGGGAAAAAAATCCTTTCATTTTGGTTCATCCATTGCATTGCAATACATTTCAATGCAAAGCAGAGCGTGCCTTTTTTTTCGGAAGAAAACTTCCTAACAAATCTCCCAGAGCGTTGAAAATCTTCCAAGGACGAGTGAGAGTGCAGACGGAGGGAAATATTTTCTGCTGTGTCGTGTCTTCTGCTGGTAAGCCCGGATTAACGAGAGATAATGGTCCGAGAGATAATAAAACTCGTCAGGATAAACGAAAAATACTGAATGAGGACGGCCGGATTAAACGGAGAATTTTAATATTAACTCTATGGGAATTCTGCCGGGAATATTCCAGATGTCCGTATTACCTAAAGATCCGGATTATCGGCATTCGGATTAACGAGAGTTGACTGTATTCGTTTAATCCAACTCTAGAGCGCCGAAGGTTCAAGTTTCCGCTGAGAATATGGAATGAAAATGCCGTGGAGATGAGTGTCGCAGACGAGCGGATGTTTAAGCGTGGTGGGGATGCACGCGCTTGTCTCGTCCTTCCTCCTCGGTTTATGGGAGACCCGCACGAAAGGGGGGGGGGGGGGGGGGGGGGGGTTCAGGTCGGAGAGGACAAAATTTGCTGCGAAGAGACGATCCGTTCTCGAATTGAAATGCGGAAAACCCGACGATTGGCGACGACAAGTATTTGAAAAGGGGCAAACGCATAGTGTATGCATTCCAAATCGACTACGGAAGCACGGAAGTGAAATGCGACGGGGAAATTGAAAACGCGAGAAAGAATGAAATGTGGCAACCCTGTCATGAATGTCACGTCTCGGCCGTCCACATCAAAACGTCATTTCATTCCAGGCAAGTAGGCATGCATGATTGCGCGTGCAGCAACCGCCAGTTACATTTTTCTGTGGATTGATGGCACCATGTTTCGACTCCGAAACTCAATGAGTTCAATCGCTTCATCGTGATCGAAAATTCGCTTCTCTTCGGCAGGAGCTGCTCCATGCAAATCGCAAAGCATGAAAAAGGAAAGCCGATCACCCTTTCTTTTCCGTGATCCTTGACTCAATTTGATAGTCTAAGGTACTAAAAAGAAGTCCATCCCACGAATGACTTGGCAAACCTGTTTGTTACAATTTTTAAGGGATGTCCAAAACGTTCTCCCCCCACCCCCCGCAACCGAAACTGCAACAGTCGAAACGTGGAAAAGAACCAACCACGTGACAGGCGGAGTAGCGATCGGGCGTTACTACGAAATTTCTGTGGATCGCAAATAAGGAACAGGAATGGAAGAGATTCGAGCGCGTTTCCAGTAGAACACCTGCCAGTTGAAATGAACCCAGACCCGATCAGCCCCTCGACAGACCGTCCCTTCCCCAAGGGCTGGCTCGGGGGACTTCACGAAACCAAAACCACCCCCTGGACGACCCAGTCCCAACCGAACAAGTTTTCCCCCTATATCCCTCGTACCCATGAAAAGCGCCTCATAACAAAGTCGGAAGCTCGAATCTGGGATGTCGACAGTCGAACTGGAGACCCAGAGTGGAGCTGAAGGGTTTCTCACGTCCTCCTCCCGCCCTCCCTATCCTTGCCCATCGCCGATCCTTCTATAGAAGGATCGGCGTTTACATTTACTTTGACCAGGATATATCCTGGTCAAAGTAAATGTTCATCGAGGGAGAAGATGGATAATCACAAGGGCTATAAAAGCCTGCATCCCAAATGCTAACAGTGATGGCGCTAGTGCACATACGACGGCCCCATATATTAAATTTTTGGATGAACTTTACCTGTGGTATACGTGACGGGTACCCGACGAATTCTCTGATGAAATTCTCCGTCAGTGCTTTTACCGAAATCTGCTAACGAGAAGAGGATGGGTATACGTTGGTATATGTTCACGGGATAAAGAAATATCTTCCTCCCATGTTTGTTCCGATGAATCCGAATGGATTCATCGGATTCGGAGTCGGAAAGTATAAGTACACGTTGCTAGCGTTGTTTTCATGCGCGACACAGTTAGACCTGCAAAATTTCAATAACGTCGACACCCTTCTTCTCTGAGTCACGTGGACATTGTTCTGTTCCACGCCACGTTGATGAAAGAGATGAGTGAGAGGGAGATAGCCCGTGAAAGAACGACAGAAAACTGGCGTCGACTTGAAAGTTTCTCTGAAACCATTGCCTTCATGGGGTAGCCTCCCACCCCAGCCCCCTCCTCCTTTCCCTTAGGCTTCCCTGTATCTCGGTGTTTGCAAAGCGCACTCTGGCAGCTCTGTGCTAGCGTTGTGCTCTCGAACATGTTTTCCTGCTGATGCTACAAAAGGGACCTAGGAGCCCTCAGCCACGAGTTTCACATTCTTTCTCGGCTCAATCATCACGCGACACGGAGGCTCGTCCCGGGAAAAGTACGTCGGCGAACCGACAACTGCAGACCCACATTCCTCGGCAGTCTTGTTCGCTTGTCGTCTCGCTCCTCTTCGTAAGAGGAACTTACAAGAAGTCATTGGGCTTTCCGATCGATGGACTTAAGGACAGAAACAGACGGCATATTCTCATATTTGTATCATATAATGGCATATTCTTATATTCTTATCATCAGGAGTACCTCATATACTTATCTAAATACCCTTGCTTATGGCATACTGTGATTTAAACCAATTGCTTCGGCATTCATGTTTTTTATTTTAACTATTGTCGAAGATTTGAGCAACTCCAGCATTTTGAACATGCTTCAATTGAAAAATTCAAAAAATAAATTTGCACGAGAATATCATCACGCATATTTAATCAGATTTGACACTCCCAAAGTATTGTCTTGATTGTAGTGCTCTAACTCAATTTGCTCTTTATTGCCATCGTGCATAAGACCTTTGAGAGTTATTGGAGCATTTGCGCCCTCGTGCATTTCTATGTTGCATCAAGCATGGAACGGAGAGTTCACAGCTGGGGCTTCTCGATATCGAACTGAATCTTCAAAAGAGACATAAAATCCACAATCGTCGCTCGGTGAAAGGCATAATTCCTACGTCTTCTTGTGGTTCTTGATGGTGACGGCCATGTCCATGTACCAAAGGGTCTGGGTGAGATAGACCCAGAGCACCCCGGATATCCAGAAGACGGTCTTGAGCAGCATCACGGGGTAGGTGGAGGCGACCCGTTGGAGGACGAGATAGACGAGGAGACAGCGGAGGGACTCGCAGGCGCCGCTGTAGTCCCGGCGGTCCATGATGGCTCCGGCCGTCACCAGACTCAGGGTCAAGAGGCTCTTCGAGAGGACGTGGGTCAGGAAGTCCAGCTCCTGTTGGAGACGGGCAAAAATTAAAACCTATGCGGATCGGAGATCGTCGATGTCGGGATCGATGCCTCCTGAGAGCAATAATTCAAAAGACGCACATAAGAGTCATGGCAAAACCCTTTGCAGAAATTGCGACCTGCATTAACGGATGCCTGTACGGTTTCCTGGAGGAGGGGGGGGGGGAGAGATAAGATGACATGCGAATGCCTCAAAGACTGCGCCGTTGGGCTCTCAACGGTCACGTTGAATTCCACCCGATCACGCCAGGATAAAACTTGCCTAGAGTTCAATACCGAACCTAGCAAGACATACTTCGTTACCTGTTCCTTATCTCACTCTTTTTCTCTAGCAACGACGGGGTGAGAAAGGAGCGGTTCGCGGATCGCGATCTTGAGTCGTACACAGGACAATTTTCGCTAACCCTACCGAAATCGCCCGCAACGAGTCCTGGCCCGCACACGATCCAACACGCGACTGCCTACCGTAGTTCACGACCAAATCCGATCAGAATTAAAGGGCACCATCCGAGCAGATTCGTGCCTTTGTGGCGTCTCCTCGATGCAATTCCTCATCTCAGTCTCTGTCATGTCATTACCTACCTTCGCTGCCACACGTTACTTTCTTTTCTTATTCTCACAAACTGTATGTATCATATAAGGCAAAATTCCACTACGGATGCAGACTGTTCATGTTCTAGTTAAGATGCCAGAATATACATTTTAGAAATAAAATTTTAGGTGATAAAAATGTTGGATACTACCAAAGGAGGATCTAAAAAATTGTAACCCTTAAAGAACCACAGAACAGCTAGGGTCCGATGGACATAGTCATCACGAAGCTCGTTCAGGACTCCGCCGCAATCCGCCATCTCACTCAAGCAACGTGAAAAACCCAGAACCTAAAAAATTCCATTTTCTCCCCTGCCTTTTACTTGAACGCCTTCATCATGACGTTCCACTTCATATTCATGAGGTCGAGCTGGGTGGAAGAAAGATAAGCCTCGCCACTCACCACCGTGGTTGCAGTGTAAAGGTGGTAAAAGTAGAGGAAGATGGCACTGTGAAGCAGCATGTAGACCTGGCACCAAATCGGGATACGGATGATTCGTCTCAGCGTCGGCGACTGTGGGGAGGGAAAGCGGAAGGGGAGATCTCATCTGAGGTTTGTGCGTCCACGACATGGGGCATGAGGAAGAGTCGCCTCTCGATGGCGGTTTAAAATTGAAAAAAGATGGGCAAATATTCAGCAGGAGACACGAGTTCAAAATGTTGGAACAGTAATGACATGGATTTTTTATCAGCGCGATTTCAGCTGAAAATTGCATATGCCAAATGTGAGTGAGGCGTCACTCGCTTTAAATATATCGAAGCTGTTTTGTACCGCTGAATTTGTTCACGTATAGATAAAAGTTCGATGAAAATATTCAGAATTGTCATTTTCTTAGGAATATTCACATGCTTTTTGCATTTTTCATGCGCGCTTTTTGAACACTCATGGAAACGCCTGTTTGTTTGTTTTTCCCTTATACTGTTAGTTTATAGTTACTTGGTAATTGAGCTGTTTTGTTAATGGTCTGAGACATATGTTCCACGGTAAAATTGATAGTAACTCTGGTCGATAAATACATCAGAGACAAATGTAAACAAGAACGAGCTTTTTTTTTCGTGAATCCGGCAGATCTCAACTTTTCGACCTCCTTCGGGGCCCGTTATCCCCGTCCTTGCAGATTTTTCCTGACATTTCGAAAACCTTTAATTGCATTCGAACCGATATGTATCCAATAATGATGCCCGTTCTTGCGAAATCATCGAACGAAATCATCGAAGAGACACGAACGACGCTCACCTGCGGCACTTGATCGCAATCGGAGTTTCCTTCCTCGGGGAATCTCGTGAAAATCTGGAACTTCCGGGACCATCGCGGCTCCAGAGACGCAAGGTGGCACAGCCGCATCACCGCCTTCGTCTTCGTCGAGCAAATTTCATCAGCGTTAATTTTTTTTCCCCCCAGCATTTTTTCTAAATCCGAAAATAAAAAACGCGGAGTCACCTGCATCCAAATGGCATCGCGAGTCCTGGAAACGATGCTCTTGGCGACGTATTCCGGGCGCGCCTCAGACTGGAAAGTCCCGAAAATGTGGTCCCAAATCAAGAAGACACCGCCAAAGTTCTTGTTCAGCACATCTGCAACCCCAAAGAAGACATCGTGTTCATCCACAGCATGAAATAACCACGTGGTTTTCTTGAACTGTTACGAAGGGTTGCTACAATCTTTCGGCTCAAGAATGAGCTTATTATTATGTATTCGACGAATACTCTCACTTCGACAGCATTTCCTATTTCTATATCAAACAGTTTTATGGCAACATCCGATTTTTGTTTTAAACAAATGATGTGGCATCTCATCTATGCTATTTATTTCAGTGACAAAGCAAGTTTTATGTCAGAAAGCTTGGATTCTGAGTAATAATTTCCTTTTTTAAATTCGAGATGAAAGCGCACTTGACCAGTTTTGGAATGAACCTGAGCTCAGCCAAAGTTGACCCTGATGTTGGCTATCGGGCCAACTTACCGCATCCGGCACGGAGATATGCTATCGGGCCTATGCTTATAGACCTAAATGTTAAGTCTGACGTGGGACTCATTTCACAGGCTTAGCAGCGGACCTCGTCGACATTAACAGCAGTGAGGAATTAGGATGGTCCGAAGGTCGGGTGACGCAGCTGATGACGTCACCACGAGTTTTATAAGGCGCGAGGAAGGCACCTAGGACGAGGAGTTCGTCCAGCCGATCTCCTCGAGATGGGATTGCGACGTAAAAATCCACCAATCAAGAAAGACTGGACGGTCGCGTGAGCGTCGGTGAAACGTCGCATGATCCGCAGGTGCGACGGGTGACTTGCTCCCAGTTCACTCGGGCGAGGCCTTATCTAACCACACGTGTTGCAGGTTCAAGCTTCGGTTTTCCTAGATAAGCCATTGCTGATATGTGCCTTTATGCACCCTTGGAACCCCAAACGAATCGTTGACGTGTTTTTGGTGGAAATAAAGGCCTGAAATCATGACGGAACCAATTGCTTCTCTAGAACCAGGGGCCTTTTTCACGAAACTTCTTTAACTTTTCTTTAACTTTATTTCGGCTATATTTCGTCTTTAACTTTTCTTTAACTTTGCTTTAACTTTATTTCGGCTATATTTCGACTTTATCTCGACTCAAAATAAAGAAAAAATAAAGACACCTTTGGAGGTCTCNGTTGTATGCCGAAGGACACGACCTACTTATAAACACACGCAGAACATTCTAGCTTGCTCTGGAAAAAAAATTGTACTGGATATTCAAGAAATTCCGAGAACTTTCTTTCCAATCAGATAGGTAGATGACCTCTGAGGCCCCCCCTTTTTGGGAAGGTGACCCTAACACTAGACAGCATGTCTCCGATAATGTTGCCATGGAAACTAAGGAGGCTTCGTGAAATGGATTTTAAGTTGAGTTAAAGTAAAGATAAAGTAAAGATGAAGTAAAGATAAAGTAAAGTTAAAGTAAAGTTAAAGCGAAGTTAAAGAAAAGTTAAAGAAGTTTCGTGAAAAAGGCCCCAGGACTTCAATGAACCTTACCTGAGCTGTGGTTGAATTTACAATCCGATCGAAATGCACTCAGAATGAGAATTAGGAATCGATGTCTTACAGTTCAACTGCATGGAGCAGAGGTAGGAGAGAACTGACTCTAAATACTAACTGCACCAGCGAACGAGATAGTGTGTTTTTTTTTGTTGTTGTAAAACGAGTATTCAGACTCTCTGAAGGGGGAGTAAGAGACTCGCGGGTCTAGGGCGTCTTCGATTTCTCTTCATCAATATGGAGGGGTCTTTCTGCCTCCTGCCTTAACAAAAATCTTTAAAGTTCCTGTTGCAGATTAATTTACATGCAGAACCGGTAGATAAAGCGAGTGAAAGATACATTAAACTCGGACATCGGAGGATTTTTGGACGACCTATTTGCACCGTGTCTGTGTTTCACCGAGTCGAAGATGCCCTCAGATTGGATGTCGTTTCCACACAGTCTATGCTGAGACCTGTGGAAGTCGCTCGTCTCAAGATCCGGATCTGAAACGTGAAGTCGATATGCCTTTCGAAAATTTAAAATTAGAACGTTCGCGTCCCCGTCCTCCTTAATGCTGAATGTTTAAAATACAATATGGAATGTGTAAGGTCTGCCAACAGCGGCAAGCAACGCGAGGGAAGGGACCAGCCACCAGAAACTCCGCTTGTGCAAGCACAGACAACCAGGTTAGTCCTGTTTCCTCTCTCGCTTCTGATAGCTAGGCCTACTCAGCGCTAGAAAAACGATTTGACCGATCGGAGTGTTTTCAACTGCACAAACCCACCGTTATATCTCCATTGGTGAGGGTGATTGGACAGAGCTGTCCATGCAGTTTAAGTCATAACGGGTAGAGTAACGGAATAATAAAAGCAACAGGAAATAACACAAGTAGTAATTACAAGTAATTGGATGTAGTCATTAATAAAATGCGAAGTTGAGAGATTGGGAAATTTTCAGTCCGGAAAAAATAGAATGCACCCGAGACAAGTGCAAGTTGGCGATAGTTTCTGCCGGGAAACGGTTGTAAAAGGCACAAGCTATAATGAACTAAATCGATTCTGAACGTCTGCGTGAAGAAAAAACTAATAGCGTAAACTTGGACCACGAGTTTAGGGCTACACATTAATTCGAAAGCCTGTTAATTCTCGCGTCGTGTCATTCCATTAGAAACGGCAAAATAGGGGAACGATGTGAGAAGAAAAGGTAAGAATTTAGATATGGATGTAGCAAATACAGTAGAATCGTATTTTTTTAAATTCACTTTCTCACCTTCTTTGCATGCTTTCGATAATCGTCAGCACGAACGAATGTAACAGTTGGGGCCAAAAGTTCTTAGCTTTAATATTAATCATAGACATGCCATGCTAATAGGAGCCAGGGAAAATAATTCCAAAGACTTCCAGAGTTCTTAAAATCTATTATGTACGGCGAGAGACGACGAGACGGACTGACCGTGATGAATCCTGTGACGATGCGGCGTATTGAGGATGGCATCGACGAGTGGAATGGAGAACGGAAGCTCAACGTTCACGTGGATGTAGAACTGGTGGACGAAGTGGATCTGGTAGAGGATGAGGAAGTGCTTGACCGGGACGCCCAGCAGGGCCAAGGGTGCAGTGAACGCCTGCAATCACGGATCCTTCGATGTTAATAACTCTATTTTTCAGTAGAGTGGAAACGGGACGGATTGTTTGTTTGTTTGTATTTTTTTTTTTACGGCCAGTGTAAAAACCGTTAAAAGGAATTCAATCTGAACCAATGGGGGAAGGTCTAAGATCATTCACCTGTGTTATCGGCCAGACGGCTCTGGCTTTCAAAATCGGGATTTCTATGGGAAAGGTGTATATCTGCATGCTATACACTACGGTCCAGCACAGGAGGCGTTTTCAAATGGACGGCGAGCCTGTCACCCAGTCATTCGTAAAAAAGTTTGGTATGAATCTTCGCATATCGGACTCTTTTCGATCTGATCGAGTCCAACGAACACCAGTAGCGTTTTCGGCAGACCTCTGCCTCAAACCAAGACAATACTCATAGCTCAGTTTTCTCCAATTTGGTGCGACGGTAGGGTAGAGGAGCAAGCGTGCCTATCCTATCGATATTCAACATTCTGGTCTCATCAGTCGCAGCCGGAATGAATAAAAAATCAGATTGCTCTAGATCTGAGGGCGAATGTAAGTCATAAAAGTATTGATACTTCAAAGAGAGTTCATTCAAGTACTCCGAGTGCGTAATTCAAGCGTACAATATGTTACTTAAAAAAAGCTTTTTCTCAACCCTTTGACATGCATGTGGCTCATTTGAAAATAGAAAGGTGGAATATACTGTACATGCTGAATGATTTGTATTCCAGGGTTTAATATCTTCAAGGGAAACGGTGAATGACCACAAGTCGCTATGAGCAGATATAAAAGATTTCTCCCTACCAAGCCTTCAAAGGCTCGGAATGAGTTTAACCTTTAAAGTACCAATATGCAATGTATTCTACGCTGAACAACGCATCGTGTGACACGGCTTATTGGGTCGCCTGTTGTGTTATAGCCCAACAGAAGACCCAATCATATCACCGTGGTCTGGAGAGAAGCCGTTACGATAAGCCGAAAGCCAGAGATATTAATTTTTATGGTAAGCATTTATTTAAATTCGGACCTTGAGGACATCAATGCAATAAAAGGGCCGGTACTTTAAAGGTTAAACAAAAATGTCCCCTTAGATGTAAATCCAACTGTTGAAGGGATGTCCACTGGTTCAATATCCATCCGAGGTGAGTATCCGCCTGGTGCGAATGGTCAGGTGGATTTCCATTAAGTGGGACATCCATCTGGTTCTAAAGCCACCTCCTATCCACTCTGTCGCGAAAGGTTTTCAATCGAAACCGTCCCAGTTCGAATGGAGACCGATACCCGAAGGCTGCCACAATCCGCAACCCGTGAATCCGGTAACATTTTGGCAACGGTGTTCTTAACGAAAGGCAAGAAGCTTTCGCAGGCTCACTAAATCTTCGGGCTGAAGGCAAACATGCCTCATCGCTGCAACCTATTCCTAGTTCCAATCTAGTTTTAAATCCGATATGCATAAAACTTCACACTCTCTCTCTTCTTTTCCAACCTTGGCAAAAGCAATACGACCTATATGACAGATACATAACCGAACTACCTGAAAGGCATTAGTTTGCAACAGTTACATTTTCAGTATGCCTTTTGCTATATTCTTTAAAACCAAATCCATCGCTGTGGCCTCACGGATAGCAGGTGGTGAATAGAAGCATGTCTCGTGCACGAGTTTGTCCTTGAAAGTTGGCAGTGGGGATGCTTCGGTTCGCACGATTTGCATCTGCCTATCTCTTTTCCTAGTGGCACAGGGTGTGACACACCGAGTGTGTCATGTCATACGTGTCCGGATTCACAAGCACTACGGCATTCACTACTTTTCTTATAAAAAAAAAGGAGGTGATAGTTCGCGCAGCCCGCTGTTTCCTTTGTGCAGTGATGCATGTGAAGACTCGCTCGCCTGCTGCATGCGCCACGGAAACTCATTTGAGATGTTTTAAAAACGGCCGAGATAGGCGACAAAAGGTCTAAAATCGCAACTCAAGCAGCAAATGCTCTTACCTGCTTCTACTGTCCACGCACGAAAGAAGTTACTACGAGTTTGAGTTTACAATAGCCATGCGTATATATCTGATTAGAAAGAAAGTTCTCGGAATTTCTTGAATATCCAGTACAATTTTTTTCCAGAGCTTGCTANGCATCGGCCGAAAGAGAACCCCGTCAGGAGTTGCACCCCAAAAAGATTATGCTCTCGGTCTTCTGGGATTCGAAAGGCATCATCATGTTTGAGCTGTTGCCGCAAAACACCACCATCACTGCTGCCTACTACTGCCAGCAACTCGATCGGCTGCAGCAGAAACTGGCTGAAACACGCCCAGAAAGACAGAGAACCATCCTCCTCCACGACGATGCCCGGCCGCACACCGCTAGACAGACTCATCTAAAGTTACTGGACCTGTGCTGGGAGGTGCTGCCGCATCCGCCCTACAGCCCCGACCTTGCCCCGTCCGATTATCACCTTTTCGTTGCCCTGGACCGTCACATGGGTGGAAAGCAGTACGCCAACCGAGACGACCTGAAAACCGATTTGGCCAACTTTTTCGTAGCGCAGCCGCCAGAGTTCTATTGGAATGGCATCCATAGTATGCATAAACGTTGGCGTGAAGTGATAGAGGCCAATGGTGATTACATTCATGATTGAGATGATTTTGCTTTTAAATAAACTGGGTTGTAATAATTATTCATGAAATTCCGAGAACTTTCTTTCCAATCAGAATATTCCTGGCGTTACCCTTTTCTATGTCAACAAGCCTTGAACGCTGAAGTGGGCAAGCAAAAATATCGCCGGAAAGCCATGACGTGTAGGACCTTACTCACCGACCGAACGTGACTGGTCTTGTCATTCTCCCTTTCTTTACTATTGTCGTCTTATTATGATATTTTCCTGGCTCGAGCTACGTCGTGTTGCGATGGGAGGCAAAGGAGAGGCAAGGAGCCATGAATTTCGATGAGTGTGGTGATACCAGGGAACACCTTCTTATCGAGGGGAAAAATTAGGATTTGGCCACGTACAAGAAAAAGTATGACTTGCTCATTCGAAATATATTTTGGAACCGTGTAGCTGGTTCAATTCGCAATTAAATCGACTCGAACCCAGATACGTCGTATTGGAACGGTTTTTTGTCGCCAATGTCATCGATTGCAATGGATTATCTCCTATGGATCGTAGTCATCTATCACCAATGGCTGCGACCGATCGCTTTGCACCTGATTGGCATAAAGTTTGCTGCAAAAATCGATTCTTGTTTCGACTGGAGTATTTAAATATCTTCGTCAAGAAGTGGCGTTGTTTCCGCAAGAGAGGGAGTTACAAAAGACAAAAGCTTACGACCTGATCAAAGAAAATGACGGAAGGGAAAGCAACGCACGGTGTAGGAAAGAAGCTCCAAGACGCCCTGTCGGAACCCAGTGGGGAGGTGGTGTCGGCTGCATATGTGGTGGAGCCTGTGGGATGTCCAGAGGAGGCTGGAACCTGCACACACCGAGTATAATGGACATTCAAGGAACGGTTTCTTATCCTCCTTTTTCCATTAAAAGAGATGAAGAGGCATGGCAGGCGCTCGAGTCTAAAAGGTCGTATTCCATTGTGAACAGGCAATTTCACAATTCATGTTAATGTATGAGTAGCGTGCTTCGATATTTTCTCCGACTATCTCGACGGGTCTACCAATTCCGCACGAGGGATGTAACACATTTAAGCCGGTATATATACGACATTTGTGTCGAGGACCAAAAAAAATCAAGTAAAAGCAAACTTTCGAGGAATACATCTGTGACCCATGCAGTGCATGCTATCCTTGACGTTAAGTGACTGAGGGCAAACAATTGATTCGCTAATGATGACTTTTAACGATGAAAGTACACTGAGAAGCCGAATTGTCAGCTGGAAATGCTAATCTCAAGGCATATTTATACCATAAATATATTATCCGACGCATCTGTTTTACTTATCCAGTGGCGTAGCCAGGATCTCATTTTGGTTGAGGCGAAGAAGTTCTCGGGGAGGGGGGGGGGCTGCTTCTCCTATTAAAACCAAAACTGGTAGGTATTAATTCAATTAGTAAACTTTTAGATTTTTTTTCACTCTAAAGCATAGATTCGCATCCGAAAGAAGCGAAGAAAACATTTGAAACCCAACTGAACATTTAACAAATAGGCTGACTTTTCTGCCAAATGTATAAGAAACGTTCGTAATTTCGTTAGGGGTAGCAGCGCCTAGATGCTCGTGTCACGCATATTGGACATCTTATCTTACTTTATCCAAAGAGAATGGGAGATACCTACTGTGAGAGGCCCGATGATGAAGATAAAAAGCGAAATCCAAGAGGAGGAGACTGAGGAACCAAGAGAAAGGTGAGTCTTCGGGGAACTTCCAGGTCTGAAACTTGGTCATGGCAAGGAAGGGGCCTCCCAGCACGCCGTGCCTGCACATGTTAACACTTCCTACCTTAGAGTCAATCGCAGCAAATCAGCGTTTTCACGACCCCAAGCTTATCAGAAACAGGAGTGGATCCCTTAGCTTCAGTGCGTTCGTCTTAACCAGCTAGATACGCGTACGTAATGAGCCCATATACTGTTGGCATTAGATTTCCTCCCGATCGTGGCTATTGGCTTCTGGAGTTCCCATTAACATAAGAAAGACTCAAAGGATTTTCGCTTTACTAATATTTTCCCGTTGAAGGGTAATCTTTGATGGAAGGCTCACAGACTATGAAACCACCATGCTTTCCTCTACTTTACGCTCTGTCGATTTCGTCACGACAGGGGCATCAAGAAAGGGACCTACCGCATGAATCCTGTGAGGATCCCGCAGGAGACGGCCGTTATGATGGCGGAGATGGACGCCTTCACGTTCCAGCGGTACCAGCGGTAAAACCATTCCACGGCGATGCTCACCACCAACACGGGGAAGATCTGGAAAGGAAAACAAATATAAAACATCAACAAAACACCATCATTCCTTCTCTTTTCTCGCGTCATAGATGAAGCAAGGTCGTTGGGTATATCGGGAATTCGCGGGGTGTGCAGATTGTTCCTGCTAACTGAAGGTAATCCCTTAGAACCTGTATAAGGAAAAACCTTTTAGTTGTTCTCTCTTCCCCCCCCCCCCCCCCCCCCCCCCCCCCCCCGGCAATCGCTAAGAACTATCTATAATTATAGATCCATAGATCTATAACCTATAATCATAAAAGGTTGGCAATCTCTGGAGGGATTTCAGTTGGTGCAAAACATGAGAGGAGAAGAAACAATGCTAATGAGCTTAAATTTTTAAAAATTATATTCAGCTTTTTTTAAGGTTTCCACACCGGTCAAACCCTCCTCCGCTGTCCCTCCAGGTAGCAATGCATATTGGGCCAAGGGGAAGGAGGTGGAGCCTCTCGCTTTCCTGCCTCTCTCTCTTTCTCCCATTCATCGTGAATAGATAAATTTTTTTTTTTTTACAGAATGCATGGCTGATTCCGTGTCCTTTCTTTGTCATTGTAAATCCGGATTTCGACACGATTCTGATTCTTTTCTGTGACGAAAACAGGATCGGGTCAAATTTGAAACCTTGGAAATGGTTCTTCTTACATCTTACCACTTGCCCTTGGACTCTACATGGGTTGTAGGGTACCAAAAGAATTAATTTAAACAAAATCCCAAGTAAATGTCGAGATAGTATAAGATCATGCCAAGAACGTTTCGGAGAGAGCAAGAAACGTAAGTAGGGCTATGTTGTGTAATGATACTGAAGCCGTACAGAGCGCTTTTTAGCAGAACGCAACGATACCACCAAAACGAAATAAGCTTGTTATGGAACAAAACCTGAAACAGAAAATGTAGTATTTCAGACTTCTCAGCTTTATTTATTCAGCTATTAGATCATTGAAACTTAAACATATTTTTAAAGTTTTTTATGTCACTAATGCTGATTGGAGGCTGCAAATGTCCAGAACGAAGCAGTCGTGAGTTGTAACAGCGACTAAGAATTATTGGTATTGCTGATAGGAGCAACACTACGGATTCCATGGAGGCTGGTTTCAACGATGAACTTCCACAAGTTCATCGTTGAAACCAGTTGAGGAACTATTACGCTTCAGACTTATCTAATTTAACATTAACCTATTGGTTGACTTTTCCATGTCTTCAATTTTCTGTTGAATATCTCACCTGAAATAGCATTGTCATCGGTCCTTACACCAGGGCAGTTTCATAGTAATTGGGACAAAAGTGGTAAAATAATTGACTTACAAAACTGTCATGCAGCTCACGTTTCTTGCACTGTATGGGTACTAAACCTGGGTCAAATAAGCCCCATTAAACGTTCATCACCTGAAGTAGAATGTTTTTTTTCATTACTCCTGCACCATTCAATTTGAATTAATTTAACTCTAACTTGGTGAATATCGCTTTTTGACTAATATGTTATGTCAGTAACGCTGGAACTGCCCACTACTGGAAATGAGACCATTTCTTGTGGAACTCTGACATAATGTCGAAACTCTGAGGAGTTCAGTGGTGAAATTTGCTTTGGTTGTAGGTTTCGTACTGCCACAGAGTGAATTAGAGCTATATTTTAAAATTTCCATGAATTGTCTAAAAACAAGGTGAATTCAGGATTTCTTTTTCAAAAATTTTCCGAAAAAGTATGAGAAGTTGTGCGATGAAATTTGCTGCACAAATAACTCTGTGGCCGAGGACGAACCAGTAAAAATTTCTCTTGAAATCGTTCAAGGCGGTAGTCGCCTGGTTTGGGGATGGCAACCCGTTTCGTCTCTTCTCTGATGGGGTGCAACCCCTGGAATTAGTAAGTCAGTGAAGGAGCCATTTCACTCCATGACTTGTTCTTCCCTGACATCAACAATGGCTATCTTTTCATTATCGTCCAGGTACCGGATGAATTAAGAATCAAGATTAACTGCCTGGTAACACATTTTAATTATCTTCGGAACTTTGCTTTGCATGTGGAAACGACCAAAGTGAAGGTCATTCCGGAGAGATGATGAGCATCATGAGAATATGGATTGGCGAGACTATATAACGTGGAATAAACTGCTTGATGCGCTCAAAAAAAGCTTTCCAAAACGCGAGGGTTTTGGCATCGAGACCGAATTCGAACAAGTCTGTATGCTTTTCGAAAAGGTGTCCTTTGCTGAACTCAAGAAGTGATTGCTTTTCTATGTTCTCTCATGGAGGCGCAGGAAATTCACAGGTTCTTCCATCAACCAAGTGTAAGTGATTTCACCAAAATGTAAGTAATTCGATCGTTTAGAACCCGAGAAGCAATTTTCTGTCAGTGGATTCTTCGAGTTGTCATATATCAGTGTCCGCTTGCGCATGTCTTCAAAGCCAGGGACATAGGGCGAGACGCGCGCGAAGGAAGCGGTCAAGCCAGGTCAAGCCGGGTCGAGAACGTCCGCACCAACTCATTCGTTAGACATAGAGGGAAAAAGCTGTCACTCAAAATGTTACTCGGTTTATGAGCAGTTGGTTCCATTTAAGTTTTCATGAAACCTTCTCTAAATGTAGGACGTTGTGTCCTAAAAATTTCCTGCCGATATATTGTGTGGTGTCCTGCTATGGTTTGAACATTTTTGGATCGCTACTTTCATCTTCTCTAAGGCTAAATATAAAATAAATATAATTCTATATTTGATTCTGGCTAAGAATACCCTTTCTGCATATACAACTCGGATTTAGCTCGAAAACTGTGCGAACTTCTTCATGAGCACCCTGTAACATTAAGTGCCCCTTCCCTTCGATGGAAAGAAAAACGTATATTATGCATTATTACTTGCAGACTCATTCGCCATTTATCGGGGTAAGGGTATTCATGATTCCCTTTGAACCGAGGAAAGTTCTATTTTTAGGCGCGGAGAAGAACCGATTAAAAAAATAAGTATGGCGATGCCTCACCTGGGCAACATAATCTGGGACTCGCAACTGGGGACTAAGCGACTTCCCGATCACATGCTCCATCTTCTCTTCTGCGGTGTGAACGATGTACGTGCTCTTCTCGCTACAAGCTCCCTTCTGCCCTCTCGTCGCGATGTTGCGTGAGGGCCGTTCCTGGCGATGACTCGTCGCGTGGGTCTCCTCCAGTCTCCTTGGGTCGACCTTTCGGTGGCGCAATTGCGCAGGGGAGCTCCGGGACCTTGTGTCTTCCGTTCTCGCTCGTCATCCTGACCTATCCCAAGCTTCTTTTTTTTTTAATCCTTCGCGAGAGAGAGGAAAAAAAAATTAAAGGAAATTAGTATGAAGATGAACTAGACTCCGAGAAGGCCGACGAAAAGGTTGCACACAGAACCAAACCGAAATTACTCTTGAAAGCCTTTTCTAAAGCCGTGTAGACTCAGGATCTTGCATAGGTTTTCCTATATCCTGTTTGAAACTGATTGCTGGTAAAACCAAGTCGAAACAAGGGATTATTACTACTTCCTCACATTCGCACTTGCCCAATTCGCCATTTCGTGGCATTTTATCACTTTCGCAGAGGGTGCGGCAAAGCAGTTCTCGATTTTCCAGTTGTTCACAAATCACCTTCGTAAATGGGTGTCCCTTGCCCATCCCCGTACCCATCGAGATGACTTCAGAAAATGGTTTCTTTTCCTTTATTTCCCCTTCGTTAATTTTGTTCGCTCTTCTAGGCCTGGATGATGACCCCATTTTGTTTCCCCCCTAAAGTCATCCTTGAGAATATGAAATTCCAAAACTGCCAGTCAACTTCATGTTTTTTCCTCTCACTTCCTCCCTTCTAACCCGAGCATCCATTTATAAAAGCCTATTTCCAGGGCCGGCCTTAGGCATGTGCCACGTGTGCCACCGCACAATTTAATATGGCGCAATAGGGGCGCCAAAATGTGATTAACCATGAAGTAGTAATGGATGCCATCCTTCAGAAAGTGAAAATGCCCTCCGTTTCAGAGTCATTTTGGACCTGAAGGATTGACCCTTATCCCTTCGGGGGTGGGGGGAGGGGTCACTTTGCACCGCCGAAATTGCTAGGGCCGGCCCTTCCTATTTCGGCTAATAGGTTTTGTTCATTTTCTGTTCAATTCTCATTTACAGATTTTATGCGGGTCTTCCCCCCCCCCCCCCGATTTTACGGATTTTTTTCAATGTAAATATTTTTTTCATGCACTTATGAGGAAGAATAGGACCCCAGTTTCCATATTCGCTCGAAAGAGAGAACGTCATGAAGTGAAATGGCTCCAGATGCTAGATCAGCATTCGATTTCAAGAGCGATCCCATCGTGAATGATAGAAACTTTTTTTCACACTTCGGCAGATGCATCCATCTTTACAGTGCGATACCTACTCCTCCCTATAGAAATAATGTCTTCAAGCGTTGCCGCTCTCCGTCGCAGTAGGGAAGTGCTCATGCCTCAGGTCAGGTGGTAAAATAATAATGTTGGCAGAAGCGAAGCACCCAAAATGGATGCCCAACCCTCGCTAGGATTTTCCAGCAAGAAAACCTGAAAATCATAAAACTGAAAATTATAAATGAGGAAAAGAAGAGAAATCGCATGAAAATAGGATGGCGCGATCCAGGCGATTGAGTCACGTTCACAAGGTGACTTGTAGTGTGACTCAGAGAAAATTCGAAGAACCGTGAACGGATCGGATGTGCCACATATGACGTCAATCGCTTTCTCACATTCCCGGTACCATCGATACTCGAGCCTCACTTCCGAGCCGAAGAATATACGGAAATCCGCCTCCACGATCGCAAATTCGATGGGACGCTGTAAGAAATCAAAGCAGCCAATGAGACTTTGGAGCTGATCGAACCGGAATACCGGATTGAACCATATGAAACTGAACTCGAAAAATAGAGGAAGTGGTCACATTAGAATCCCTTCGAGACGCACGAGCTACTTGCACGGGCCACGGGGAAGGTGATAGGGCGAAGAGGTCATGCATTCTAACGCGCTCAAGCGTGAATCCCTCAACAGTTAATACATTGCCTCGAGGGTTTAAGAAGAGGTCCTTCCACACGATGAAGTGGAAGACGGAGGTTGACATGCGTCTAAACGATGCGCAGCCACTCAAACCACTCCTCTCGCCTCGGCTGTTGGGGCATTTTGGTTTTGCAGGCATCTTTCAGGGGACCCGGCTTGGTCGGAAAGAGACTGATATGAATAGAAAATTCCAGTTGAGGCCTTTTCCTCTCGAAAAAAATTGATCGAAATGCGAAAATTGACTGAAGTGTATCGTCTCGATTTACCTATTTCTCTGAACGTGGAGTCCCGCAATGTCAGTCGCGATGGTCGTGGCAACTGCCCTGCTAATTTGTTCCTCTCATTCTTCCGTCAGCCATCTCATATCCCTGATTTTTCAAATCCATTCTGTGCCACGCACATAGCTACTGCGTTTGAGACACATCGCCCCCAAAATGCAACGTGGTTGCTACGTCTCACGTACTACGTTTCGGGCACTCTTCGGAACGGAAGAAAGGAAATCGCCGAGATCAGGATGTGCGCTTCCATTGGTAACGTCCCTCTGTCTTCCCAGCTCTCTCTTAATTGGCTGATTCGGGGTGGAAGGGGGTGGGAGGGGGAGGCAACGGGAGAGGGGTAGACGTAGGTTTCGGCAGCACCGCAGGGGTTTAATATCTTAAGAGGAAAGAATGAACAGCGAAGGAATATCGTCCTTTCTTCTTTCGAATGCTCCTTTCTTTGAGCTTCCGTAAGCTCATTTTTGCATCGCAAAAAGGTTTAGACGCCATAGGAGAAAAGCAACCCCTTCCGCAGCGAGTCTGGCATCTTCGTTTCTCCATGTAAATTAATTACCTGAAGAATTGATACATCTTTTTGCTTTTGAGAATATTTACTTTCCTTTTTTTCTTCGGAAATATATTGTACTGTACTAGCATCCAAAAGAAACGTTACAGAGTATTTTAGGACTCGCCCAAGTAGCAGGATTTGTGAGGATTTGTGATGGCATTTGCTGAACAAGTCAACATCGTCTAAGCATTATTAGCGTCTACATTCTTAGAAAAGAGTGAGCGATTTCCCTCAAAGGGAGCGAAAGGGAGAGTTGGCAATTTTACTCCCTAAAAGCGAGAGAGTTCAATCGATAACTACTCTAATATCCGAGCAGAATCCATAACTTTTTCAAGAGCATGAAACGAAGGAGGTAGAGTATTTTCCAAATTAGTAGAAACAGTTTGATTATTCTCAGGAAAGAGAGAGGTGAGCCACATGACTTCCTCGCTCACTCTTTCCTAAAGGCCCGTTCACATTGTCCTTCGGCGAGGCCTCGCCGAAGGTGCAGCGCAGACCAGTCTGAACGTGCCCATAGAAAAGAATGGAACGAATGTCTACGCCGAAGCAACGCCGCAGCTGCGGCGCACCTACGCTAGGAGTTCGAAGGAGCCAAACTTTTGTTACGGATAGCCAATGAGGAGTTGTTGACGTACTTACGGAAAGCCAATAGGAACGCCGATTGATATGGCGGCCAGCACGAGCTCTGAAAACCTGAATCAGC